TATTGATTGATGGTAGTGACATGTTCATAACTTATTCTGGTCAAAAGATATGGGTGTTTACACATTGCTGTGTCGATCAATTGGTTTTAAGAAAAGTGCATTTATCTTTTCAACGGTTTAAGATACCAACGCGTAGTAAGCATCAACCAATATGAAAATTTTTGCACTCTTAGAAAATGACCTCCAAATATCAATTAGAGGTCAAATAACGCAATGTCCTTGAATGACCTTGACCTTGAAATATGACAATTGAGTATCGCCCAAATTTCCATTAACAAAATATCTAACCTCTAGGTCACTCAGGAGCAAAGATATAGCCAATTTAGAACGGGAAAATTAGCTGAAATGCCCTGTATATCTACTCGTGAATCAGCATCTTCAGATTTTTCTGGGCCTTCCAGATAACATTTTTGTTAAAACTTTATTTCCACATTTTTTGATGTTGCGAACAATCCAACAAAATTAATGAATTATTGTGCATTGCTAGAAATAGATGATTGCATTCAAATTTAAAGTGAACGAGGCGGATCAACAAGAATTATTCTACATAAGAAGGAGCCTTTGACCTTTGGCTATCAATAGAGACCAACATTTAAATTATTGATCAATGATTCATTAAATTACAAAACAATAAACAATTTGTAACATAATTTTGCCTCACAGGTTATCAGAAATTGACCTTCCAATATCAATTAAAGTTCAAATAACGAATTGACATTGAATGACATTGAGCGCTCGAAATCATAGTTCTTCAACATGCGGAAGCTCATGATTCAAGTCTGAGGTCTGTAGCACTAACCGTTCGCGAGTTATGCCTGCATGAAGGCGTAAAATGAAAAAAACGCACAGGCTATAGTAATTTTCAATCCTACTTCTGATATTACCGCTAAATCAGTGTAAATACAGCATTGAGCAAAACAAAATCAAATATTGATCTGTTGCATCCTCACTGATTTATCTGAAATATCGGCCTGATAAATCTTATATATTTTATACTTATATTTTACCATTTGGTTTAAAAATGTGAAGAAGATTGAGAAGCGTTTATTCCAGTAAAATCGACTGATGTTCTGACGAATTCCTTATTCGTCTAAAATGGAAATCATTCAAATATGTGATCAAACCAGGGGAGGAAAGTTCAATAAAATATTCTTTCACTGAGTATTCATTGATTTCATTAATTATGGTTGGTATAATTTTTCACTATTGATTTGCTTTGTGTGATAATCATTCACCTTTCTTTTCAATCTTGTTAAGTTGCTTCAGAAAATGTAGTTTTGTTCATGCCGTTAATTGTTAATTGTAGCTGAAGATCTATCGAAGTTAATCAAAACTGTGCTGCTTCAATTTCATTATTTCTTAATCATTAAATGTCCTTACAATTCATTTGTATTAGCTTGTAATCAGAATATGAGATTGATGTTTATCTTTGAATTGTAAATAAAGTTTATGAGGCTTTATTAATCGTTTTCATCACTTAATATTTATTGGTATTTTTCACAGTTAATGACAACAAATCACAAATATATGATTGATTCAATAGATATTAAATAATTTTTGAGTCATTTTGATCTTGCGATCGTCAACATGTTAATCAATTAAATGAGATTTCTGATTGTCATACAAAAAAGCGAACAATCAGTTATTTATATTTATGCAGAATCTTAGTCATGATTTTTCATTTCTGATAAAATAGGTTTAATGATGATAAAAAAGCAATCACAATTAGAACCAAATCACAATATATGAAGAACTGAAAAGCTAATTCAGTCTTTTGAAAGAGTAATTTCATTACAGCAACAGCATATTAGCAAGTCAATTTTAACACCTTAAGATAATGGCTGTGAATAATTAAACAAATAAACAATAAACAATTTGATTTAGAAAAAAAATCAGAAATTGTCACAAGATGAACTTAGTTGTTAATCAATGAAAACAAGGGTGACTTGTAAATGGATTGAAAATGAAACGATGAATGATAATTGTAGAAAAAAATTAATCATCAATATGATTTACATATAATTAATCGTTGAATGGTTTTTCATGTGGACAATTAAGAAGTATATGCATTAGAGAAGAAACATTGGAGAAGATGATTCAATAAAATCATTACCAGCGAAGTTCTCGTGCTAATCTGAAGTAAATTTGATGGATAATTTATGGCAAGGCGCTAATATAGTCGTAGATCAGTCATGATGATGATGATGGTGTGGACGCTATGATGATGATGGGTGATGAAAACAAACAGTTGTGCTTTTTGAACTTTGCAGATTTTGCAGAACAGTGTTTAAATGCTAAATTGTATTCGCACAAACCAATTTACCATTTCAATCGTGCGTTAGGAAAAGTGGAATATTTTTCCATGATTTATGGAAAATATGTTTCATGAAGTCAAATCCTTGGCAGACAACTTTTTCGTGGTGATGAAGAGGTAATTTAGAGTAAGATCCTGTCAATATTTCAATTTGGTAGTCTTTTGATTGGTGTATTTCATTGATCATAGTATCCGATTCTGAATTGATGTCAGAACAACCTCTAAGATCAAGAAGTTTAAGGTTAGGACAGGAGGTCAGAATGTCATATATGTGAATATCTTTAAGTCCAGGGCACGATCGGATAGCAAGATTCTTCAAGTTAGGAACCTTTTGCAAAAATATCGGTATATTGGTCCATTTAATTGGTTTGGGATCCTGAAACAAGAAAAAAGTATATCAATGAAAAATGTTATATGGACACACATTAATTTAATTGTGAATAATTTAACAAAACAAAGTTTTACCTTTGAACGCGTGTAATATTCAAGGACTAGATTTTCAAGCGATTTGTGGCTTTTAGAGGGAATAAAATTATACACTGTATCAGAGAAACGGAGGAATAGGCTATTTAACTTGGGACACACATCAATAAATTTATTGATGCATGTATCAGGACAATAAAAGTAAGTTACATCCAATTCGAGATATTGCAAACTTTCTGATGGTGTTCCGTTGTAGGTCATTAGCCTGGCTCCTAAAAATAAAAAATTATAATTAGATACAACTGGCAAACACTGAAATAATCATAAGATTGCACACACTCACTTTCGAGTTGAATGTCTAGATAATGAATGGAAATACTTTATTAATATTTCACAAAGCCCTTACCTTCATGATGATGAATATGAATCCGTTCCAAGGATTTGCACTTTGAGATTATATCATCTATGGCTACATAATTATCTTCAAAAAACAACTGTCTTATAGTATCTGAACAAAGGTTTATCACGAAGTCGTTATTATTATTAAGATAACCAGGAGCGAACATTTCTATGTGCTTGAGAAACATAGATTTACATGGTCCTTCTGGTTCATAATAAGGATAAGCCAAGCCTTTGATTTTCTGTCTGGATTCTAAAGCTCGCAGAAATATGGTCTCCTCTTCACGATCTAAGCTCTTCTCTACATCAATTATCTGTAACAAAATAGACAAAATTTTAGAATTCGATGCTTAAAAAAGGGACTGTTAATGAATTACCTTTAAATTAGGAAGTATTCTCATGTATTGATAACTGCTTTTATCTGCTCGATAGAAGATAAATTTTCTTCCTTGATATAAACAGACATCTGCAAAAGAATCAAAATCTATGCTTGTTTATATTAATTGAAATGGATTCGTAAAGTAAACAACTTTAGCCGTGTAAATTTATTTTAAAATAGTCTAAGGTGTAATGGATAAAGTTATGATAACAAAATAGTAACGAAAATATGGTAACCTCACCTTAACAGATCGTAGCAAATTAAAATTCAAACTATTTAAGAAAATAAAGATTCATCACATTGATTGACGAATCAAATGAATTTTTCTATTTTCTTGAATAGCCCATTGTTGAAAGTTGTTTTGTAAGTTGAAAAGGCTAAGTTGTAAAAGTGATATTGATTAGATTTGCTTAAGACCATACCTTTAACACTGACACAGGCAATGAGGTAGTTAACGTAATTCAATCGTCTCTGAGCTAAAGTCCACCAATGTCTGCATACTGGAGCGAGAGAGAAATGAGAATTAAATTAAAATTTGAATCATAATGATGAATAGATAATGAAAATAATCATACCCTTTGAACAACTTATAACATCTTCAATGAACAGTATTCTTTCAAACATTAAATCCAATATTTCATCTGGTAAGCTGTCAATGGACATTCCGGGCTGCCTGAATTAGACGAATATAATGATAACAGCAGTATGAAAGAGAAATACAACAGCAAACTGAGGATCACAATCAGGTGATAAGATATTGGGCACAAAATATGTATAAAAAATAATAACAGTTAACCCAGAAAAAGCATAAAAAAGGCTATTTTCATCAAACAGAATAGTGTAAACAACAGGGAAAAACCATAATAAAAGTGACAAAGAGATACTATATTCTGCAAATATTCAAGGTAAGAGGAAAAGAAAAAAGCTTTATCACATGGAAAAATAAGAGCAGTAGAGGAAGAAAAGAGAGAGAGAAAAAGAGAGAGCCAAACAAAAAAGAGGGAAAGAGAGTGAGAGTGAGAGAAAGTAAAGAGCAAGGAATTGAAAAGATGATAATCCACAAGAAAAAAGAGGTAGAAATGAACAGCTAATAATGTTTAACTAAAATCACCAATTTTAGGAAGACCAGAACAGCCTTGCCGAACGTTGGTCATTTTCCTTATCAACTATATTTTCTATAATCTTACTGTTTACATGTGTTCTGATTAAAAGGATGTTGCTCAAATTAAATTGGTTGATTCTTGTGCCATGGCAAATGCAAATATGCTTACTCCAGATGAATTCAATGTGATCAAGACTCGCGATGGGATCACTGGCTTAGAAAGTCATGGTCTACCTCCAACTAACAGGTACATGGTACATTGATCCTCGAATTGGTGAAACTGCTACTGTTAATGTTGAAACTAATGGGTTTGACAGAGAGATTTTGTAAACAGTGCTGCAAACGGCAAACAATTATTCTTTCATTGCTGAACTTATCAAGGCTAAATTAAGAGCTGTTACCAAATTAATCAGCTGCCAAGTCAACTAAATTGTGGTTCACCTTTGTTGGAGCTAAAAATGCATTCTCTGGTAGTCACAAGTCCATGTCGACCAACGAGTACATTACCTTTTCAATTGGTGGTCTAGGAATCAATACTCTAGCTGTTATTGTTGTTGTCCCTGGAACCGGATCTTGTACCAATTCTGATTTAATTTCAACGCCAAGTCCAATTCGTCCTGGTCCATTCCCAATCAATTCTTAAACCACCGGCACGAACTGGATCATCCATTGTTTCATCAATCCTAGGAAGACCGGAAAAGCCTTGCCGAAAATTGGTTAATAAATCTTCCTGCCATAAAATGAAACTAAAATTATGAAAATTCCTAAGCTGTGTAAGACGGAAAGCGAAGTAATCGCTGGAACTCGGAACTCAATTAAACCCTGAATTAGATTAAGCGTCGGCTTCAGTTCTTGTCTCAGATTCTTTGCACAGGAAGGTGTGCAACAATACCAAAGTTATGCTGGAATTGCTAAGCATATTAAAGATCGAACCGGTCAACAATGGCAACGAAAGTTTCACTGTATTCATAATATTGGATCTATTTTTAAAATTAAATCTTTTAATATGAGTTTTTATATAAGGCACTCTGGTAGAAACACAATTTGACTGTACATGAAAGCGTACAAATGAAGTAAATTAAATTACTAAATACTTCAAGAAATTCCCACACTGTTGTTTATTTGATGAAATATCAGATTCATAATCTATCACAGAAATATTTCAACTCACTGTTTATATCGATACGCTTAATAGAAGTTGCAATTGATAAAAATTAAGAAGAGCAACAATTATTACTATTTCGTTGAAGGATGTTTTGCTTCACAATTAGAGTATTTCCGATTCTTATCAAACTCAAGTAAATTCTTCAATGGCTTTGATAGTAAATGTACTTTAATTGTCCTTACTACTTTCATCTACACACACATAAAATAAAAGTATCAATAACTTTAGTAATAAGATCGGAGTCGCAATTCCTGGTTCATCAACAGAAATCAATTTTTTTAAAATTGTTTTGATTAACCGATAGTCAACTACCTACACAATGAGACAAATTACTTTTACCCTGGGTGAGTGACTGAAATATCCAACCATAATACGTTAACTATGATAACTAAATCATCTTTGAATTGCTTATTTACAGCAATTACATTTACTTTGACTGTTGTTTCGTGCTATAGTGATACCGATTTCCTTCACCAATTATCCAAACAATACAGTCCAGCGTTAATTGAGAGACTTTTCAAGGATCAAGTCAAGGAACGGATTACAGCAATTGGTCGAGTCGCCTCATCACCCAATTTAAACGATGACCAGATTGGCCTTTGTAATGTAACACTTTCATCTCTATTACTATTCAATGATTACATTGATCAATCTATTCCATCCTTTCAAACCTGTGGCTTTGCTGCTTCAGACAGATTGAAACATTTCATCAAACAATACGAAATTATCATTGGTCTGTTCAATGATGAATTTAAATCAATGAATCTTCCTGAAGCAGCCACTTTCGAGACACCAGATTCATTATTGAAACTAATGGACTCCAAGCCTGCTGATTTCATTAGATTGGCAGCTTTACAATCAATAGCCAGTTATAAACATAATGTTGGTTTATTTTACAAAGAGGCAAGTAGATATGAATCAACATTAGCTGATTCAACTATCAAGCAATTAGACATTCTTCACAATGAAATTGACAAATTGAACATCACAAGTCCAGCAACTCCATCAGTCACTAAATCACTCCGAATAGTCTTGGAAAGGTTCAAGCTCATCATTAAAATGTTTTCATGTTCAAGATTCTAGTTGAACTGTTATCAAGCAACACAAACGATTATTTTCCTTCAATTACTCCTATTTAATTTTTCATTGTATTCATTTGATTTTTATTTGACAATTATTGCATTGGTAAATGTAAAAACGCTATTAAACACAATACAATTGAATCTAATCTATTAACTAATCTCGGTTGAATCGGGGAAAATTTTCAGTCAATAACAAAACATTGGCTCTTTAAAAGCACCATTTCGTTGATATCAGCCAGAAACAATTTCTTGTGCCATTAAATTTGCGTGTTGAAGCTTCAAGATGCGACAATTGGTTTCCAACCTAATTGGTAAGTCTATTTGGTCTATTATTTAATTGCTGTCAATAATTTGTCTAATTTGTATTCCTTTTGATCTCCAGTAATCCTAATATCATCAGTAGCAATCGTTTCACCTTTAGAAGAAGCTGATTTCCTTCGAGATTTATCATCAACATACAGTCCACCGTTAATTGAACAATTACTTAAAGATCAAATTAATCACCGGATAAACTCAATTGTGGAAATTAGACGAGATGGTAAAATAAATAAAGATCAAGTAGCTTTTTGCAACATTACTCTTCAATCTCTGGCATTGTTGCATGATTCCGTTGATAAATTATCCTCTTCGTCTCAAGACATCAAGATAATTGCTGGCGATTCACCGCCTGATTTGCTGTACGCTATAAAACAATATGAAATTATTGTCAATTTGTTTAATGAGCAGTTTGAATTGTTGAGATTTGCTCAAGCTGATGTGGAGACACCGGATTCTTTGTTGAAATCCATAAATCTTAAAACTGATCAGTGGATTAAATCAAGTGCTTTGAAGTCAATTGATAAATATATTGATCTTATCGAGAAATTAGCTTCAAGTGAAGTCAAAAAATATCCAACGTTAATGATTGATCTATCAGTCAAACAACTGAGTTCACTCAAAGTTGAAATTGAATCAATTGTCACCAGCAATACTTTAGTCTCACCAGCAATTAAACCACTTGACTTGGCTTTGAAAAAATTTAAGGTTATTATAAAAACCTTAGCAGCTTCCCAATACAAGTAATAACATTGTTTTACCAGAAATTAAATTTTTCATTGAAATCTAAATGTAATCAGTTTATTCAATCTTCAAAGAAAATTGATTGAAATCCGTTTTGTCCGAATAAATTCCAGCATCAGTGATCTGTAGATATTGAACGTTTGATTTCTTGTTTTCCATGAAATATTAAAATCCAAATAAAGCTAATTCATTCTCCACCAAATCACATATCAAAAGACTTTGCATCTCATGATGAAATTACTCTGCCGATCTCTTTTTCCAGATTAGACTTCAATTCTCGACGCAATTTATCATAAATAACGTTGTGATGCTTTGATCTTTGAATTAAATTTTTCTCTTCTTGGTCAATCTTCTCTTTAATTAGTGATAATTGTTGCTGATAATAAGTTTGAAAAGCATCCAGCAACCGTTTTCTTTTCACTTCTTCCTTTTCCATTTGAGTTTTTATCATTTTCTTGTAAGCAATTAAGTCTTCTCGAAAGTCTTTCAATCTTTCCTGGGCTTGAGACTTGATTAAATTTTCTTCCTTGGATTGTGCTGCTAAATATTTTGAACAAGTTCGCCTTTCTAGATCCGTGGTCAATTTATGTACACGAGCTCTTTCAGTCCGAGCTTCCCTAACCATTGCTCTATCTTGAATTTGCTTGATTTTCTGAGTGTTTGGATCCAATGAAACGGAAGACTTTATTTTATAATGAATATCAACCAAAGCAGATTCCTGTTGTCGCCATTCATCAAACAAAAATTTCCCATTCTCAGTCATTCTCAATTTGGAATATGCTTTTGGTCTGATTCGTTGAGACAGTTTGGTTTGAGTGTGAGTTAGCTCTTTGGAAACCAAAGGCCTGGTGTAGATATTTGATCTCATTGAAACTGAGTTAATTTGCTTCGCTGTTACTTTTCTATTCATTATTCTGGGCTTTCCTACTGATGGTGTGAAACCTTTTCTTCTGTTGATCGGCTTTTGTTTATTAGATGTATTCACTTTGAGTTCCCCCGTAATCGCGGCAAGTTTAGCTTCGATATGTTTAGTAGACTCTTCCAATTTTAAAGCCCTTTGTATTTTGTGTCCAATTTCAAGAGCAAATCTGTGGGCAGCCAGCTCTTCATAACTTGCAAATTTTTGATGGCATTGGTTGATAACATTATCTTGGGGTTTGTTTTCGGGATAATATGGTTCTGTAATAGTCCATTTGTCCATCTTGTCCACTGTTTCAGGTGCCTTTGAACAATATGGCGTCGATAATGGTGATGATTCTTCACTTAAAGAGCTTGAATTTGAAACTGATTCTGAGACTGGATCAGTGTTGATGCCAATATCACGTAATTTAGAGCAAACACACGCAGAGTCAGGGCTTGATAGGAGAATAGATTTAGAAGATTTTCGAGAAGAATAAGTGGATTGTTCTGGGAAATTTTTCAACGATTGTGGACTTGGTGACTTAGGTATTGATTGGGCTGGTAAACTTGAAGTTGATGAATCAATATCATATGATAGCGATAATGTTGACGAGGAAAACGAGTTGATGGATGAACTTGAATACGTTGGTGATGACCAAGGTTTAGAGTGGAGTGAAGATGAAGGTGATGATGAAGGCGAAGGCGATGGTGGAGGAAGCGATATTGATAGAGCAGCAAATTCTGAAGATGGGATTTTATTAGCTTCTTCTGTTAAATTTTCCGATTCTTCATTATTGGGTAAGTATATTTCACATGCGGCGAGTATCTCGAGTAAATTGTAAATACTGGTTGGATCTGATGAAACTAAGTCTTCGGGTTGAATATGATCTATTGGAACATTAAGAATATCACAAGACAAAAATTTAACTAAATTAGCAAATTTTTCCTTATCGGTCATTGATTCAGGTCTCGAGATGGAAACAATCGCCCTTTGCTTGAGTATTGAGAGAAATATTTTCTCGATGATCTCATAATTGATTTCTTCAATTCTTTCAACTGGTTTTATCTTGTCATCACAAAGAAAAGCAAGATTATTGAATAATCTGACACAATCTGAAAAGTGAAAAACAATGTAAGAATGAATAAAATCAATCGGAAATTTACTGACAAACCTTTTTCTTCGACTAAGTTTGATTCCTGACTTGTTTCCATTGGCATTTTATATTTGAATTGTTTAACTTATTTTTTGAAAATTGAATCAATCAGCGAGTATTGTCAGGATGGCTGCTCATTAGAATTAAATGCCATAATCAAGAAACAGAAAAATTCCAGGCAAAAGTCTGAAAGGATAAAAAGAAAATTAATAGTTCGAGTTAATAGGTGACAGCTTATTAGACTCACCACAATGGTAATAAACTCGTTCCGTTTGCTAGAAACATTCCTTGATCAGCAAATTAAATTCTTGAGAAGAAAATTCAAATAATTTTTTTGTTAAAATAAAAAAGTCACTCATTTTACCAGAAATTGTCTTAATTTTTGTTTACAGTTTTATGAACCGGAGTTACGTTGCCCATAGTAACAAGAAGTGACCTAAAATACCTAAATACAATAAATACATAATGCAATCAAAATGATTTGAAAATCCTTCCTTGAGCTGATTATCATGATTGCATATAAAGCCCCCATCATTAATGAAATTTATATTCATTATTAAAAACACCTTCTAACCAACAAACAATTTTGTGATAAACATTTATGGGTTATGAAAAGTTGATTTTGCTGTGAATGATTTTATTTGAGTCTAATGAAAATTTGTTCAGATATGAGGTGAAATGGAATATATAAATATAAAATCAAAAATGATTTTAATTTGAAAAGGAGAAAATAGATCATTTTTTCTTCTTGAGCGCTTCAAATCTTGCCGCAAGATCATCAAAATCGATGTTATCGTCATTAGGTGGATCGTTTTTGTCATCTCCATCAAGATCAGGTAGTGAATCAGGTATATCAGGCAAATCAGGCAATTCAAAGTCATCAACGTCCGTAGGCATTTTCGATTTACGTGGAGCAGGAGCAGGAGGAATTGATTTGTTGGCCGTGGGTTGATTATTTAATGTTTTGTTATCAGGAAACATGCTATGATAATTTGGAGGGTCATAATTTGGAACTTCATGGGGAGGCATATTTTCAGGGAAGTTATGTGGAGGAGCATAAGGGGACTTGGAAGGATCTGGTGGTGGAAAATAAGGTGCAGTGTTTCCTCCGACAGCTCCTTTACCGTAACCATAGTCAGGGAACTTTTCTGGTGGCATATCAGAAACTGGAGGTCCAGAAGGATTAGGATTATAATTATAATTGAAACCTGTGAAGAATTAGCACGATTAATAACGTTCTTTGATTAGATTAATCATAAATTATACCTATTGGTGGTCCAGTGTAAGGTACACTAGGGTTAGCCAAAGGAAGAGGTGGTGGACCAAGATTGGGATCAAAATCAATTAAAAAGCCAGGTCTTTTATTAGCAATTGCTTCTTCAGCTAAATAAATTTCATCGGTCTTCATAACTTCTGGGTCCGGGACATAATTCACATTCTGATCCTTTGCAATCTCTAAAAAGGTAAGAGTTAAAAATGTTAAAAACAGTATAAAGAGAGTGAAGGTCGAGAATACTCTTACCTATCATGTAACGTTCAACCATAATTTTAGGTAACTCTTCAATATTCATTTTCTTCTTTAAATTTTCGTTAACTGTTTTGATAGCTCCCTCCCTTACTGCCATCACATACTGCTTACCGTACTTTTGAGTTAATAGATCAACAATAATTTTAAGCTCCGATATATCAGCAATCCTAGGAGCAACCCAAATTATTGAACTGATAGCCTCAGCAAGTCCATCATCCAAGGTTTTCATTTGTTCGATTAACCCAAAACGAGTTAATAGTAAATCACAGTACATCTCGACAATTTCCAAAGCCTCTACTAAATAGTCCTCTCTTATGATGGCTTCAACACGAATCTTGGCTCTTTCAACTTTATTTGACGCAATATAAGCAGCAATTTCCCGTCTGCATTTTTGCGCATTTTCCGTTTTCTTCTTCTCCATCATTTTCAGCCTCTGAATGGCTAGCCTTAGATTGGTTTTTAATTTGTTATAGTTCGTTGCAGGCATTTTGAAATTTGAAGATCAGACAAGTACACCGAACACTCTAATGATAAAATGAATAAAGCATACAATAATTAGAAGAGAAAAAGAACGGTTACTTAATCATTGATGGTTGATTAATCAAAAAGAATTATGTATAGAGCTTAATGTGAAATAATAATCAATGATACAAATCATATAATGATTAGACACGTTTGTTATAATTAAATTATTCTGATAGCAGACACAAGATGAAACCAAAAATAGGCTCAAAATTGAACACACTGAACAATAAAGAAACAATTGAAGAGACACAAGAGAATGTAAACAAAGAAGAATGAATAAGACATTACCTTTTTATCCTTAGTAAAATTTAGATAGATTTGATTACCAACTTTGGAATTGACAAAATTAAAGTCTGAGTATGATCCATGAAGATAAAGACTAAATGGTTAATAAAATACAATATGAAAATAAATTGCTAAATTCATGATGTAAACAAGGTGTGACATTAACCATTGAAAAGCTGTAAGAATAGCAACAAGGCTATCTGCACGAAAGAAATGATTATTTTTACAGTTAAACGTTTGCATTGCAATTGTTAAGCTTAAAATAAAGATTATAATGGCAACAATTAATGAATTAATCAATGGAAACTTTGTTAACAGCTGTTTTAATTTACTTTGACTAACTTTATTTAACAGATAATTGTTAGTTTATTAAAAAATGGAATTTAAACAACAACTGAACAACAATTGAAAATAATTTGTCCATAAATTGAATCAACCCATTCCTCAACAAATCATTTTATTGTTCATACATTAATTTCTCTTTAATTGTGATACAACTTGTGATTGAATAATAGGTCTATCTGGAATTCGAGGAGGTATTGTTGGTACGGGTCGTCTAAATAGGAAACAAAATAAAAATTGAAAATTAAGTTGTAGATCAAATTGTAAATGATAAATAATGAAAAATATAAATGATAAATTATAAATTAAAGGATAGAGAGAAAGATGATTAAAAGATGATGAAAGCAAGAAAAGGGAGAAGAGGAAAAGAAGGACGAAGAAGAAGATGAAGAAGAAGAAGAAGAAGAAGATCAAAACTACACAATCTTGAATTTTAGTCTTCTAAATATCTGGATAAATTTCTTTATTTTTCTCTTGATTAACAACAAACATGAAATGATGATCACTTGTGAACAGGCATTCCGAAAGCATCGAGCAAAGTATCGGTTACAGCCTGACCAACGGCCTGTTGGACCCTGGCTGGTACAGCAGGACCACCTTGTCGACTAATCATCAACAAATTATTTTTCAACACATTGTTAATAGAGTCGAATCAGAGTAGTAGTGGTAATGGTAGTAGTAGTAGTAGTAGTAATTATAATCGTAGAGGTGCATTAATGAGAAGTGAAGATGGGTAAGCGTGAAATAGAGAAAAAGAGAGAATGTGTGAAAGGAAGATTAAAGAAGATGACGGAAGAGAGACAAATATTAAGATTAAGATGAAATAAGTTGTTGATGATTTTGCTAATGAATTTCATTCAGAGAAGGTAAAAAAAATAGTAACTTGGCATGCTCATATTTTTTGGTGTATTCTGTCATTGACTCAATGAGGTTGGGTTGAATGTCATTCAGTTAAAGAGGTTCAAGCAATTCAATTTAGTGAAGTGAGAAAATTAAAATAATTATCAATGAATGATGGAATAAAGGGGAAGGAGAGAAAGAAAAGTTAGTGATTAAAGTGGAAAGGGCGGACTACTATTTATTATAGAATTGAACAGAAATGATGAACATCAGGAAGGGTTAAAGGAAAGGAAAGGAAAGGTGAGGGAATAAGAAAATGTAAATACACTTACGATGGTATGAGCGGGGGTGGAAGTACCCCACCTCGTGCACTTGGAGCACCTCGTCCAGGTATGGTTGGTGCTGGTCGTCCGGGAGGAGCAGGCGGTGGTCTTGTTATAGTTGACCCAGGAGGTGGATGAACTGAGGGTGGTTTATTGCCAACAAAAGAGTTTCTTGGAGCACCGCCGGGAGAGGGTGGTGTGGGTGAAGGTTGAGATGCCCGTAGCCAGTCATCTTTAACTGGTGGTGGAGGTGGTGAGTAAGTGGTTGCCATTGAGACATCACCAATAGTTTTAAGAGCTTCCTTACAGCCATGGTACATTTTAAGCAACTCATTTCGCCGTTTCTCCTCTTCGGGACTTTCCTCCATCATGGTTGACTGATCTCCAGCGGCATAAAGGTTTGCCAGTAGCTCCGAGTAGATGAAATCTTTGGCATTGTTAATCATTAGGTGCATGATAATTTTAGGTACTAGATCGCGGAATGTTTTTGTAACAATTTTCATATATGAATCAACCAGATTACGGATTGTCTCAACTTGACGTTCCAATTGTGGGTCAAGGGAGGCTTCTGCTTCGGAAACAGTCTCCTCACCATTCGTGCTTTCAGCTGAACTTTTCTCGGGATATACACCAGCTCGGAGGAAAGAGGCTTTCCATGATTCAACATCCTCCTGTGATTCACAGGATAATTCAAGATATTTGAAGTCTTTGTAGACATTTCTGTAAGAGTTGACAGAGAAGATAGAGAAAGAAATTTAAGTAAATGGTAAATTATATCAAATTTAAAGGAATAAACAAGTTAAAACTGAAAGGATCTAGAAGGCTGTTAATTGCGGAAATCAATTAGTTCAAACAGGAAAAAGTTAGTTTGTCATTCAAATCAACGGATCGTATCACAAATTTGTATAGGGGAAAAAATTGGAGTATTTAAAGCCGGAGAAAGGGAAGTGCTAAAAATTGAAAGGAACAAGTTGAACAATACTTTTTTCACTATGCATCAACTATGCACACCTCAGACTTTTTTGACTCTCTATCGAAACAAAAGATCAAGAAAAAGAGCACTTTATGAGATTATTTATGAGAATGAAAAAGTAACAAAAAGTGAAACAATGAAAGAAAGTTGAATAAACGGAAGTTAAATCTGATTACCTTCCATCAGGATTGAAAAGAGCGAAGGTATGTCTTCGAGACATGAAACCGCTTTCAATATCTCGAAGTTTGAGACCATCCAAAGGTAACATATACTTTTTGTCCTTTTCTTCCTCATCTTTAAACCAGGATAGGCTGTCACTTGTTAAAACAAACCAATAATCTCTTGAACCTCCTTTCATTATGCCAAGATTGTGTATACACATGTAACCTTTGCGGATAACCTGAATTAGAATTGAATAGTCGAAGAAGAAGCAGCAGAAAAAGAAGATATGTTTTGGTTAGAAATTAAATGTAATTAAATATCAACGAAAACAGTAATAACAAGACAACACAAAAGCAAATTAACAAAATTTATACAGAAAGTAAACATAAATGGAGAAAATAAAAGGAAACAAATGGATTTACATCAGAAAATTAAAAGTAAAGAAAGCAAACATCGGAATGGTAGAAAGAAAACCAAAAGAATCGATTCAATTCTTTGATATTAAAGCTTACCCCGGACTTCGTTATTTGTTACGAAAGTAACGAAGATTTTCAATGAAAAGGACATTATTGAAGCGCAAGAAAAATCGAAAAAGAAGAGAGAAAAAGATAAAGATGAGAAAAAACAAATATTTTTCAAGATGAAATACAGAAAGTGCGAAATGTAATACTCTGATAAAATGATCAAAATGATCAAAAGTACGAAATTTTAACGGATTAAGATCAAAAGCTGATTTGGATTTGCAGCTACGAAATGTATTGGCTGACGCAGTAACCCTGTTATCTGATGAAGAGAGGGAGTTAAGGATTGATGATTAATTGATTGGTGCGATGATGAATTTATGTATCTATGATATAGCAACATAAATATACGAATGAGGGTGAACATATGAGTTATCTGGTTAATTCTAATGTTAATTGAGACAAGGTTTGATTATTTAACAAGATTTTCAGCAGCATTGATTAGTCGATTATGACAAAGGACAAGTATAAGCGAAATTTAAAAGTGGGTTTTGAGTGTGTGAGCAATCATAACCCAACAGAACCTACAATATTTTTATTTATTTCTCTTACTTGATTCCCAAGTTTTCTCTTTGGATTAGAAGTGTCAGCAGTTTGTTGTGCACTGAAAAAGAGATAAAAAGATATTGTTAAAAGGTTGAAATTTTTCATAAAACTAAACTGTTTCATGGTAAATAACATGAAACTGTGAAAAATTTGCCATCAGGTAGGTATTTTTATCATTGATGCTGGTTTCATTATTTAATTGCTAAAGAAAGCTAATTTTTGTCAATTTGTATCAACAAAAATGTAGAAGTATCATGTTGAGGTAAAAAAGCGGTGAAATGTCAAATGATGGATAATGAATGATTTTTGATCTACTGAAATAGGCGATATTTATAAAACAATAAATTTTGTTTTATGTTCTCATGGTGATGATAAAAACACAAACTGATGATAAACCTTTTGTGGGAGTGAAAATTGGACAAGTCAAGGTTATTTACTTGGTGAAGCCAATGAAGTCTTCATGATTGGTATTCATATAAGCCAACTCGACATCTACCAATAACAACAATTGCTCCTTGGTCTTTTGTTCACGTTCCCTTACATGAGTAGTAATTATTCGTTCGGTTTCCTCTCTGCATATTGAATAGAAACAAGAAACAAACGTTAGTTAATATTAATAAATGATATCTTAAGGAATTGTATTACAAAAGTGTAAATTGATTTTTTTTTCAAAACAAAATAAAGAGTTATATCAAACCTGAGTCTTGGATATTTCTTCATTCGTTCAGTAACCCTACGTACAACATTACCAAGCTCCATGATAACTAAATCAACGCATTTGAGTGAAGGTTCTTTCAACCTTTCAATTTGCTTTTTGACAATTGCCTCGAAAGCCATATCTGGTGTAAAAAGACCTACTCGAATACCATGGATGTTTCGAATAGCATAGGCAATTTCGCGTCTCAATTCTTTCTCGTCAAATTCCATTTTAACGATCTCAAAAGGGAATCGTTCGTGGAAAAGTCGATTTATCCTTGCACCACCGGAAAGTTCTGAAGTATTAATGGCAGCTGATCCGCTACCTTCAATGTTACGTTCAAAGTCATTCTGTAACTGTTGAATCATTTGTAGCATGGCTTTTGTTTTACGGGTAGGATCATCGGGCCTAAAATTTTTGTACTCTTCGACTTCTTTTTCAAGCTGGAAAAATTGCTTCTGTAGTTTATCCCTAAGCGATGGAAGTGTGTCTCGAATGTGATTAGTCAATTGTTGATTCAAAACTTTTTGTAAATACTGAGTTCCCAAACGGTCAACCATATCTCTATATTTTTACATAATGAATGGGAAACGAAAAAGAAAAATAAAAAGGTTAGAAAATAGGAAATGAATAAAAATTTGAAAGTGATTATGTGACGATAAAGGTGTCAATGAAAGTTTAAGTGATTGAGTGAGATAAATAGATGGTGGTTGATGTAAGCCAAATGTTCATGATAATGAAAAAAAATAGGATCATGATTCTAGTGTCTATTTTGACCTTGATAAAGGCAGATGCCCAACAATGATTCTGATTTTCAAATGATGCTAAAAAGTAAAAAGTGAAACAGATGAAGGAAGGTGTGCAATATGAATCTCGCTATTAGATTGAAATATAATTAGATAAGTATGTGCCTGTGTTTCTGATATTTGCACATCAGTCTATTATCATTTTATCATCGTTATCTTCACTCTTTCCTTTCTACTTTTTACCTCTTCATGCCACACTAAGCCATCTATGTGTCATGCGTTTTCTGCTTTTTTATTCATTGTTTACTAATCATTAGGTGTATTTCTAATTATTGGAACGATTTCAGTTTATATTACATTTGAAATTAACTTTAAATGTGTGATTGTGAATTTCATTCTGTTACTTTGATTAACAAGCAAGATTATAATCAAAACTATAAATAATGAGAATGAAATATAACAAATACAATCACTCTTGGGATAAAAAGCTTTAAAAGGAAAGAGTATATTATATATTGATTACCTGTATGCTGGGTGGGTTCGGAAAAAATTTCTCTCCGCTTCCATGGCTGCTCGAATATCTTTTTTACCATCAATATCTTTCTGACTCCGATTAACAACACCGATGTATCCTCGACGTAAAGGAAGCAAACGATTCTCCAAGATATCTCGAGCATCAGTACCTTCATCCATCAAATCGAGCTTAGTGATTACACCAATTGTTCGTAAACCTTCTGGATCAACTTCTTTAGCCAATTTAAGTGCATCGGAAGTAGCAAGATCTTGATTGGCTGCGGTTACAGCCAAAATAAGACATGTTTCTTTCTTAATAAATTGTAAAATCATATCCCGAATTTGAGTCTCAATGTCCGCTGGTTGATCACCAACCGGGACTTTGGTTAATCCAGGTAAATCGATTAGGGTTAAATTGAGAACATGAGGAGAGTATACGCGAAGGTTAATTGGTACTGGTGAGATCCCTTTATTGGTTCCAGTTGCTCGGTCTGTTTCATCTTCAATCTCTTTTCTGATTTGATCAAAATCGGTAAATTTTTTGCCTCGACAATGAAGAAACTCTCCATATTCCATGTTCGAATGGATCAATTGAAGAATCAAGGGACGCCGGGTGACAATACCGGACCCACGGGGCAGAAAATCTCTAAAAGGGACATCAAAGAAGGACCAAGATTAAAAATTAAAAATAGATCAACAAAAATAAAATGCATAAGTTATCAAGTAACATAATCGGAGGTGTTGTTCAGGGTTAATAAGAAAATAAAAAGATGCAAAATAAGCTTCAAGTGTTATTTACATTTCTCTCTTCATGCTTTTTCTTCTTTTTCTTCTTCATTTTCTTGAAACTTATATATTGGATGTAAAAAAATGAAGCAAAGAAAATCAAGAAGAAGCAAGGGCAAAATAGAGAAAAAAAAATCAATATTCCAATTCCTAAACAAGCCAGTGTCCTCCTCCTTCTTCTCTCTCTCTCTCTATCTTTCTTTCTTTACTTTTCAACTTACTCCATACATGCGGAGCATTTATATGTAATAATGTAATAAGAACAGTATAAACACATACACACATATATAGAGATCTATGATGTAGATACAGAGGTAAAAATAAGAGAAGAGCAAAGGAGTAAAAAAAACAACAATGAAAGGGACATAATCATTGTTATCCAAAATTAATGTCCCCAGTATGAATAAAGAGTTTATATCTTACCGTCCAACACAAGCCTCCAGGACACTTGATTTACCGGCTGATTGACCACCAACCACAGCAATTTGGGGTAAATCAAAAGCATAACTAACACCCAGTGTTGAAAAAGCATCTTGCAGCTTGTTTACTATCGGAATGAGCTGCTCCATTCCTTGTTGTAAAAATTAAATTATATTAAAATGAAAGCAAAATGATTACTTCTACTCCGAGAGAAACAAAAAATTGAAATAATGATTGTGATTAACTGTTGGAATAAAATGGTTAACCGTCAACAACAAATACACCAGCGACAAACTGATTACTTTTCACAAGCAAAATCCAGTCAGTTGAGTCACACTCAGTGAAATCAGTCTTGTCAAGTTATATTATTTCAACTTTTTACTCAAGATGGCGCAATGAAACAGGTATTCTAAATGATAAACACAACAAATGTATTCAATTAAAGTTAATTAATGCAATTAAAGACTTTAATTTAATTCAATTGAATTCTCCAACAGAATATTATTTAACAATTGAAGGATAAATGTAAATAAAATCTTTAGTAACTACAGCAAAACTTAAGTCAATTCCTTATTGTTGCTATTGTTACTGCAACTGTTGCTTTTGTTTTTCCAATTCCTTCTCTCCTTATTTACAACTTCAAACAATTTAATTATCTTCTAATAATAAACTTTCCAATGATAGTAAATAGTAATTTTCCTCATTCAGATTCCTAATATTCAATCAATTCAATGTAATCCAGAGAATTGAACTTTATAAATGTAATAGGTTGTCCTAAAAATAGTTTACAATATTTTCAAGTTGCATAAAAAGCCATTTCAAATCTGCTGGATCCTCATTATTGATTTTTACATGTAAACTGACCAATGACCAAATTAACTTGAAATCAATAAACTCACACTCAATAGCTGATCAATAAACTGTTGAACACCTTTTTTACACAAAAAATATTCACCAAGTCAGCTTGTGAAACCACATCGTAGGCTTATTCAAATTTAACATTTAAAGTAATAATCACCTGTTAACGGCTTACCTCAGATTAACTTTTATTTCCTTCCTTTGGGTCACTTTAGGTTATCCTGGTATTTGATAGATGGTTAAACTCATTAATCTACGAGATTAAATAATAAATCTCTAAGATAATTGTAAAAAATAAATCGATCATAATTGTTTATTGTTTCATTGTTTAGAAATAAACGGTTTGAATTTATAACGTTAGATGTCTCTACATTTCTCCCTCTTTTTTTGCAATCGACAAGTTTGTGATTTAATTTATGATTTTCTCTATGAATCTCTCACAATGTGATTAGTCTTGTAATTAGCTCAATTAAGACAACATGTATCTTCGTTATATTATACTGGCTACAGCAACTTTGGCCAACTGTCTTGAATATGCTCTACGTGATAATATGAGTATAGCCATTGTGGCCATGGTTAACAATAATTTAACCTCGGTAAGTAAATTTTGTCAACTAGTCCGTTACCCTTAACATTAACAATCTTTCCTCTATTTATTTTCATCCATTGTTTTAAAATTGATGTTCTAATTTAACGTCATCTTCTCTCTTTTTGGGTTAAAGAAAGCTGTTGTTAAACCTGATGAATTAAACAATAAATTTGACTGGTCACCTACAACGCAAGGTTTGATTCTTGGAGCCTTCTATTATGGATACATTATTGCTCACATGATCGGAGGTCAATTTTGTGCATGGCTTGGACCAAGATTTTTAGTTTCTCTGTCCATATTTTTCTCGAGTCTATTTACACTACTTATTCCATCGGCAGCTTATCACAGTCCAACCACGGTGGCTGTAGCCCGGTCTCTACTCGGAGTTGTTCAGGTAAACAAAATTCTGTTTATTTTTTTCTGGTTCTCTATCACAAGCATCATTGTCATCATTTATGCTTCCTGAGTTCAACCAGAATTTTATTTTGAATTATTTTTGACTATCAAAGATTCTTATATGCTTTGTGCAAGTGTTTTTTGCTTTGTGAAAGTGTTGCACTCGCTGTAAATTGATGACACTAGGTTATAGCAATTGGCTTGTGAAGTCAAACATCAAGCATGATCAAGGTAACGTAAGTAAAGTTGCAAAAGGTAGAGAAAAGGTTGTATCACTAGTTTGCACCGTGAGACTGCACAATTAGCTAATTACCAGTGGCAATCCAATGGTTGATGGAAAAATCTTTTGTTGTAAATAAAGCTGTTAGCTATAATTAAATCTATCTGACAATCCACTGAATCATGATAACCAAGATTACCATAAATTTGGATTTACAGTTTATTAGGTCATTGCTGAGACATTCAGTTCTCAATTTAGTGTCGCCAACAGTGTTATATGAATAGATATAAAAAATCTTGAAAATTTTGTTCAGTTTTTTTATTGATTCAATTTTTCTCTACAATTTTCATCCATTCATTCATAGATTAAATTTCGCTTTACTCCTTTCTTTTAATCTCTTCATCAGAGCAATTAACTAATTCTTGTCGTCGTTTAAGACATAATCTCTAATTATGTGGATTTTTCTTCATCAACATAAAACAATTTCAACTTTCAGCATAACCGTAATATTATGCAAAAATTGGTCTTGAATTTTATCACAAAGTTAATTGCTCCAACAAAATGTTACAAATTTACCAGACATAATCTTAAATCTAATCCAAATGACTGAATATTGATTTTCACCTTAAAATCAGCTGAACAAATAACTTACATCTCTTTGTCAGCAAACTTTTTGTTCATTATCAGTACACAAAGCTAACCTGAATAAAATGGGGAAAAATGTATTAATAATGTTACCTTTAATTACTAATTAATACACTTCCAATGTCAATGGCTTGTCTCATCTAAACCTTGCAAGCTTATCCTAATCGAATCGAATTTTCTTACCCTTTTCGAGTGTCAAAAATTTCACATATTTCATTATTCAATTGATTCCAATCAAATGTCTTTCTAATTCTAATGATAGCATTAATGGATGAAATAAAATATGAAAAAATTGATCAAACAAGTTCAATCTGAACAAATAACATTAATAAGCAATATTGAAATGCAAACAATCATTTGAACTTTATCATAAATCAATATTTCCATCATGATCTATTCCACCATTCATATTGTTATTTGTATTATTTCGAGTGAAACAATTGAATCAACTGTTTGATCATTGTACTGATAAGCCTATGTTTGAATTAAGACAATTTCAAAATTCAAATTTTTATTCAATTTCTAATTCAAATCTATACAAATGTCTGAATGATGTTAAATGAACATTTATTATATTTTTTGTGAAATGTCAAATCCATTCACCAAATGGATAAAAAAGATGATCAATTGCTACTAGGAAATGAATTTGAATCAGCTTTGAATAAGTATGTTAAGATATTCAAAGATATCCATTTGAAATCATTTTATTATCATGTTGAAGCCCTGATATTTCACTTAACCCGTCATTGTTAGAGCAGATACTGATTAATCGTGTTAATTACCATCAACATCTAGCTTTCTTGATTAATTCAATCCCTATCTTAAGATTAGTAAAAGGTGTGTATTTTGGAGGTGTGAGTGTATCACTCTGGATTTAATAATAACTTTTTAAGTGCTTTCATTGATGACATTTCATTTACAACCCTTCTTTTCAGGAAATTTTCAAGAAATTGTATAACAATAATTTATGAAGATTCATGATTACGTTTTTTACGTAGACGCACAAATTGTACCATTTAGTAGCAATTCAATTCTTAAGAAAGATACAGAAAGAGCTGCAACTTTATCTAATCTATTAATTGTCTATTCATATTTTAATATGATTATGTCTAGGTATAAAGGTAAAAGTCTAGATATGACAATTAATATCCTTCAGCTGTGCACCTTAACCCATTTAAAGTTTACCGCACTTCACATTTAAAGATGAATCTAAAGAAATTTGATTTTAAAATGAAATTCTAATCAAAATTTTCCAATAATTCATTTCATTGTTTTCAGGGTTTCCTTACACCATCTTTATACGCATTGTTTTCCCAATGGATACCTAAACGAGAACGAAGCTTTGCTCTGGCCATGCTGGTTGTCGGTGGTAATTGTGGCTCACTGTTTACCATGTTAATATCAGGATATTTGGCAGAAAGTTCATTCGCTGGAGGCTGGCCATCAGTATTTTATGTCCTTGGTTCCGCTGGTTTAGTTGTTCTGTTAATTTGGATTTATGTTGTTCGTAATGATCCAGATTCTCATCCAACAATCAGCGAGTCAGAAAGAAAGTTAATCACCGAAAGTCTTGCCGAGGAGAATAAAAATGTCAATTTAGTTAATGGAAATCATAAAATACCATGGACAGCCATTTTACTTTCACCCGCTGTTTGGGCTGTTGGTATAGCTAAATTTGCTGGTAAATGGGGTTACATTACCTGGGAAACTGAGCTTCCAACTTATTTAGCTCAAGCATTGGGTCTCAACTTGAAACAGGTTGGTTTTAAATTTACAATTGTTCTCATAATTGTAAACACTTTTTAAAAATTCATCAATTAACCAATAGATGGCTGAACACATTTCACTCATTGATTAAATTTTAATGTTGACTTTTTTCTCTAAATTTATTCTCTCAACAGAACAGCGCAATCAATGCTTTACGTTACATGTCAATGAGCATTTCCCTTCTCGTTACTGGATTCATTTCGGATGCAATTGAACGCAGAAATTTGATCTCACGAACAACTTCACGGAAAATATTTGAAGCAATTGCATTAATAGGACCAGCAGTTATGACAAGTATCATTCCTTTCATTACCAACAACACTGCAGGAATTATAACAGCATTAGTTGTTTCAATGACACTTTGGGGATTCTGTGCTGGTGGAGATAATCCCATGGTTGTTGATATTTCTCCTATAAATTCTGGAGCAATTTATGGTTTTACAGCTGGATTATCAAGTTTTCCTGGACCTTTGGCACCATATTTTGTTGGTTATGTCTTGGAACTAGGCGTAAGTTTTAAGTTTTAAACTGGACAGTCTAATGAGATTATTTCAATACTTAATGTTAACTCACTAATTTGGACTTTATTATTTTATTTACAGGGTGGAAATCCAGAAGTATGGAATTATGTCTTTTGGAGTTGCAGTTTGTTTTATATCATTGGAGCTATTTTCTTTACTATTTTTGGAACCTCTAAAGAACAAGATTTTGAAAATTTTAATATGCCAACCATATTTGGTGGTAAACCAGAAGGAAAAGTGATTAATGTTGACTGTGAAAAGAGCAAACAGTCGGGCGATGAGAAAATAAGAATTTAAAATAATTCGAACTGGATTAACCACGAGCTGATTGGACTTCATCTTCATGTTGAATTTGATTAAACCAAGAGTTGGCCAAGATAATAGATGAACTATCCATTTTCATTGTACATTTCAATTTCATCCATAGTTTGACCTTTTTTGGTTATAAGGACGCTTCTTGGTCAATTTTAAGATTCATCATGCAATTTCATTATTTTTTATATAAAAATGAGCCATCAAGATCTAATTTTCACCTATTTATCTACCGTGATCAACTTTAGCTCAACTCGAAAAGCCTTCAAATTACGTTTTTGGATTACCTGTTGATAAATTGCATCTCATTTTTATATTTTTGGACAAAATCATTTCTTGATTGCTCTTCGATAAATTTATATCAACTATTTACCTGATTATATGGATGAATCAAAATCTCTTTTTACTGCTCAGTCAACAGGTGTACCAATCCAACAGAACCAGATACAACACAATGCAATACTTATGAGATTAAAGCTGTATATTGGTGACAAGCGTTCCTGATTGAACAAATGAACTTGAAGGTCTTTTGATTAATATTCAAATAATTAGGACAAGGATTATGTTTCGTGAAAAGGACAAAATACAATTATCTGCAGAAATAGTTCAGAATGCATTAGAATTAAAAGCATCTGATTATGCTGATTCCAACAGGCTAAAATACAGAAATAAAACACCAATAAAGCTCATACCTTTCCCTAGATCCTGTTATACATTGAATTACAATCAAATTTATATACATATTTTAAATTGTATCACTTTCTGAATATTTTATACTTCAACAAAAACTCAAAACAAAATCTATGATCAATTATTAAAACAATTGTTGCCGAAAAAAGCATTTTTTATTTTGTTTCACCTATTTATCTCAATAATTGTCCATTTCATCAAAAGTAACCCAAAAATATACACTCAAAATGGGTTCACTCATTTTCATTTAGTCAATTGTTCTTGCAAAAATCCAAATTAAATCCGGGAATGAATGAAAATTGAATAGAAAGCTAAATTACTGTTGGAGAAGATTAATAAATTTAAATAACTTATCAAAGTAATATGTATTTTGTTATGACAATTTCGTGATTAACGGTCTACAGATTTACATTTATACATGATGACATGATACCAACGGTTGACTTAAGGACAAAAGAACAGGATAATAAGCGAAATGATGATGAGGAGTGAAGAGAAATTAATAAATGATAATTACACTATTATAAATATGATTTTGATGATTGTTAACAAGATGGATTGTTTAACCAAACTGTACAGCTAAATGAGATTGAATGCAATTTTCAATGAAACCAAACAATTAGCTACTGTTTATAGCCCTTGTTATCCTCCGGTTAACCCAATAATTCAATAATCAACTCAAAAGATGATTTAATTGTTTACCAACAAAGGCTAACCACAAGCCTAAAATGACAAAAGCCATCTATAGTAAGCAACAAGACCGTAATGGTTGAAACAAAATTTCAATGATTTCCAGCAGTTTGTAATCCTTTATATAAAGGTTAATCAATCTGTTGATTAATAGCTAATAGCTGAAGGATCAGACGGTTAACCAATATTGTGGCTTTTGATTTTAATAATGAAAAAACGGTTAAAACTGGTAACACAAGCAATCAAGTAGAAGGCGATGATTGAGTATTGTTTCTTGCTGTAATGATAATGATAGTGACATTTTGATGACAACAGTTGATTCTTGAATCCTAGTTACAGTTAAACTGTCTTCCTCACGAAATACAAATCAATGAAAAAAAAGAGCATGATAAAAGCACCAAAAACGACAAAAGATGGGAGAATGAAATTGAAAAGGTTGGTTGGTAAAAGGGTTAATCAAGCATGGAGACTTTTGGATGGAGATATGAAGTAAAGAATTAGTTGAAACATCCTTTTTTTGTAAGAAAAATACTGCTGATAATCAAAAATTATTATTATTGTTATTTTAACTTTCAAGTTAATCATTTTCAACAGTTAAAACAAAGACAAAGATTTAATTGCGTGATTATCTGTTGCCTAATTGACCAAAAATAACGACACAATACGATTAATGGAAGATGTTAATCGATATATCGTCAAAAGGCGCTTTCCTTGCTGTTAAAGTGAACATTTTCAAAGCAATATTGCGTGTTTAAAGAGCCACATGATTATCATTGATGAACAATTAGTTAATCCAATTTCAGCCATTTCAAATTTCAGGCCTTAATTTGAAATGAATTTGATTTTCATTGGATTGCCTGACAACTCTCCAAAATAGCTAAATCTGGTCTCAAGAAATGGGTTTAGTCGAGACTTTCATTTTACTTCAAGCAGATATTTTACTCATCTTTTAATCATCAAATATTGTAAATTGTGAATTTAAACCGATTGCAGCTTCTATTGTCAGGTAATTGTAATCAGGTTACAAGACTGTAATAGACCTCAAAGAGTCTAATGTTTAATAATGACCATAATTTGAGCTTTTGTCAAACCATAACAATGTGTTTACACACAAAATCTGGTTAATAAGGTTATGATTGGCTTGTTTCATTCATGATTTTGAATCAGTTTCTGACTGAAGCTCATTTCAAGTACCACTGAGCTATTAATATATTGTTTAGAGTCACAGATGTTCACTTTGTCACAACCAATATTATCAATAAAAGGTGTTGATTCATTGATTTTGATTCCCGTAATACCTTGAACCAGATATCGAGTGAAAGAGATGAACATTTCCTAACAGCTCAGTTACCAGTTGATTTGGGTTCAGGTGTCGATGTAACATTGTTGAATACATATTTATGTTGAAAAAAAAGTATGGCCATAAGCAAGTTCGTAGCCACTGGCCCATAACTGTCAGAAAAGTGTAGATGTAATAAAATAGTAAAGGAAAAGATTTAGAGAAATAAAGAAAGATAAATAGACAGAGAAGAAGAAGACATTGAACTGATGATGAGGTCGGGAGATCATGCGAGTGAGCGGTGAATGAGTGTAACAACACAAAAAAACATCAACAAGAGCTGTAACATTCACAGTCAACACCAGCCTGTTGCAAGTATATGTAAAGATTCAACTGACTAACTGTTGACGCTTTTTTCTTCTTGTCCTTTCTATTTCCTCCCTTTCATTTTTGCTGTCTTTCTTAGCCATTTATCTGTTTATTAAGAGTACCAACGGACTAATAGGATAATTAACAAATTAATTTGATGTGTAATTCCGTTTCTACTATCATGTTTCAATATGGTTTACTTTGGTAAAATTGGTGTCTTCACTCATCTTTCCCTCCTTATGTTACCCATTGGACTAACTTTATTCACATGTTAATGGTTACAACGCAACAACATGTGAAGAGTACAAAGAGTTTATATTTCTTTCTTCCTTGTTTCTAAATGATTTGCTGTTAAACAAAATTGTTGTTTCAATCGTTATTGATTATCTCTTTGTGTTCTTCTTGTGGATTAACATTCTGGTGTTTATAACAATTGACAGTGAATCCATACTTGACTTTCATCGATAACTATGAAGCCAAATAACAACCAAATGTGAAGGTAACTCGGCAACATTGTTTACTGTATAACAAGATTGGTTTCAAGGGAAGAAGACCTGGTTAATCTAATTTAATTTTCCCATTTTGTCTACCAACTGTTATCATCTTGTACATAATGTTTTACCATTGGAACCAACATGGATTCATATTTTATATTATGTCATGCTAATATTAACAGTGATTTTCTTCAAAATTGTAAATTCGATTAAGGATGAACAAAGCTGTTCCATCCAAACAACAAAAGGTTTCTCATCTGGCTTTTGTTATGCACCTTCAACTTGCCGTTTTATTTCCCTATTGATTCTTTTCAGAGAAAAGTCTTAATTTTTCAATCGTTTGATTAACAATTCAGTGTAATATGATGATGATCCTTATTATCGTTTCCAACTTGTGATTGTTTACAACTTTTATCATCTAAGCTGTTGTTAATACCGATCTTACCTGTGAGAAGTCAACATTATCCAACATTTAGTTTTATTTTACTATTATGATAAAATTTGTTTCCTCCAGTAACCATTGTTTAACCAAGTCATAAACCAAGATGGTTGATTATTACGAAGATTTGAGTAAATCAATCAACTTTGGGTCTCTAACGGACCCAACAACCAAATACGAGTTGATCCATGTAATTGGAGAGGGAACTTATGGAGAAGTTTTTGAGGCAAAAGATCGTGAAACAGGTAAGCAATTTCTATCAAATTTAGCAACAAAAAAAGTACCCAAATAACCCAAATTTATCTCTTTCACAGGTCGAAAGGTTGCCATCAAAATTATGGAAAATATCAGTGATAATATTGAAGAAGTGGAAGAAGAATACCTGATCTTAACCAATCAAAGTCTCCATCCAAATATACCTTCATTTTACGGATTATATCTTAAATTGGGAAACCGACGAGAGGAAGATCAATTATGGTTTGTGCTGGAGGTAATTTCAGTTCGTTTCATGATTACATCTCCAAAACAGATGGATATGAATAAAGTAGATGTAACCAGTTGAATAGTTGAATAACATTCCAATTTTTCCAACCAAGGCAAGATTCAACATAGACTCAGGATTCAACAAATTATTCAAAATAGTTTGAAAAAAGCAAACCAGCAAAAAATGTGAATCAAATTAGTTGCTATTAAATTGCAAGTCAACTCAGGAAAAACAAAAAAGGCCATTTATGTCGATTTGCAATTTAGCAGAAAGAGTATCAAGTTTCCCAAAAGCTTCCCATGATTAACCTAATCACCATTTTTGACTAGTTGTTGAAATTTTTGAATTGTTACAAAATGTTGTTATTCCAGACTCATATCCATCGCACCTTCATCACCTCCACCATTATTATCATCAATTGAATCTTCAGATTACTAATTTGTTTCTTTTTTCTTCCATTACAGCTGTGTTCGGGAGGATCGGTCACTGATTTGGTTCAAGGCCTGTGTAAGAAGGGTGAAAAGTTACCAGAACGGATAATAGCATACATCTTACGGGAAACCATAGATGTAAGTTTGAGAGACAGCTTCATTACTATCAACTTAACAAGTAAAACCAATCAATCACAATTGTCACTGTAATTTACCGAAAAAAAGGAGCAAAAAAAGAATCTCGTTTAGTGTGAAACTTTCTACCTTTCCCTTGATTACCTGTTGTGAACCAGATTGAATTAATGATCATTTCAAATGCTAAAACCTTTCCAGTTTACTTTCTTCCCTTCTCCTTCTTATCACTCTGATTGGAGTAAATTTTGTAAATCATTGTTTACTTCTGTTAATGGTTGGTTAACCGTTGATCATTAACATTTCATCTTCTCGATTTCATTGACCAGGTTCAATGAATAAGTTAATTAAGACAATCTAATTAGTCTTTTGGTAATGACATTTTAAAAGGTTTCCTTCAAATGGTTATATTTTGGGTTAAGCTTTATTTTGCTCAATAATTTGCTGTTGGAAACAAAACAACAAATGTATAACCATTAACCATTAGAAGCTGGTTAACTTATCAATCACAGATTGACTGAATTAATTAGTCAGTTGAATGATTACATGAAAATGATAGTAAAATAATTCAACATCTTGATACAATTTTAAATCAACTTGAAATTGAAATCAAACCTTAACTTGAAAGGTTATCTTAATATTTAATTTTTAAGTCTAACAATTGCAAGATATTTTTTTTTGGTTGAAAATTTAAAGTGTGTTTAGGTTCAAGCCTTGATTGATTATAATGAAGAATTGAGTTTCATTTTGATTCAGTTTCTCACGAATCAGTTTGAACACTTCTCATCATTTCAATTAAAAGTCAATTCATTCCATTGTTATTGTATCTCAAAAAATTATCACATCATCAATATATCGCAACAGTTTAATCAATGTTTACTCTCAACTGAATGGCCTAAGGTAGTCAAAAAAGTATCAACTGATGGTCATCATTTCAGCCATGAGAAATAAATAAATGATTATCATTTCAATTGAATTTTAACCTCTTTTTTCTCAATCAATTTATATGTATGTTATTCATGTACAAACCATCAAAAACTCACATGTTGATGAAATACACTGATTGAGATTTTCGATGAAAATCATCATCATTATCAGTATTTCAACCAACTTGATCATGATCATGAAAACCCATTTCGTGAGTTTAATCAAGGTTTTAGGGCTTTTAGCCATTCAACTTGTCATTATTTAAACATTACTTATGTGCACACATCGAAGTAACAAGATGAACAATGAAATGAAGCAGAAAAAAGCATTTGATTGTTGACTTGATACTAAAATAATCATTAAACAACCTCTTAAATCATTAATTCTATTGCTTGATCTTTTACCCATTAATCAACAGAGAAGTGAAGCTTTTAGCAAAAAAAAGATCACATGAAATAACATTAGTAATGGGACAAGAAAAAATTGAATTTTACTTTCAAATTATTGCTGAGTTTTGCTGTTTTGATGGCAGCAGCAAAAAAACGCATTAATAGTTAATTTTGTTGTTTATCAATGCAGCAACTAAAATAAATGTCAACCGTTGCGTTTTTTGCCCAACAATTCACTTTGTTAACAGAATCACAATTGATGTCATTTCACTTCTCATCATCTCAAGCTAATTTGTGTCAGTTAAAAATGAACATCGGTCAGTCTAACAGTTAACTATTGACTTCAATCTTCATCTTCATCTTATTCTCATCACTACTTTTGAAAGTCATTTTTTCCTCCTTTTTTGCACTCTCAAACATTTCATCTAAAGAGGGTTGTGATGAAGATGATTTGATGGATGATTGGTGATGAGGAAGAAACAAAACACCAAACAAAATCGGATAAATGGGTGAATCTATTTGGTTCATATCCGGGCCTTTCTCACAATATAAAGGTACAAGTGATGGAGGAGGTGGAGGAGGTGAAGGTGATGATGGTGGTTTTGGTGGTTTAAAGGTGATCCAACAATTGAAACGTAAGATGAGGTGATGACGCAGTTACTTTATCATGAACCGAGTCAACAACAATAGCTGTACATTATTAGTTTATGATGGAAACACGTTCAACACAAATTGATGTTTAATTATTTTTACCCAAATCAACATTTTCCAACAAAATCAAATTCCAATTCTGTGTCTCCAAGTTGACTCAATAACCATAAAACCCAATGAAAGGCAATCTTTAAACTCCAATCATCTCCATATTAATCTTGATTTAAACTCTTCTTTACACAAAATTCAATCTAATTGATTGTTTCTCACCATTCCCATCGTTATAATTGGCATTGATAATGATGAGAAATGAAAAAGTCCTTTGACATGATAAGTTGATCTTGTCAGGATAATTACAAGTTCATTTTTTACTCTCAAACTTGATCTTCAATTGATCATTCAATTGAACATTCAATGATTAACCTTTGTCAGGTTATATTATTTTTGATTGCCTGTGTTGACACAATGATCAGCTACAATATTATTGATAATCAGTTAAATCAAGAGAAAAGAAAAAGTTCATTTTCTCATCTCAACCAATAATAAATAATATACATCAATACTATTGAGTTAACAGTTAAAAAAACCCAATATTAGGGTTGAAACAGGAAAATCATCATTGAAAGGTTTTAGTTGTTTAGTTACAATATTTGAATTGCCATTTGAAAAGCTTTCATCTGAATCATTTTGAGGTTCCTTTTTTGCTAGAACTGTAATTGTGTAAAAAGGGTCATAATTTTGAATGTAATTGACTCTTTATTTGAAAATCAGTTCAATATTCAGGTTGATACTATTTTCATTAGGAATATTAATTTCGCTGATTTACATTAATTTTTTTGCCCATTGTTTGTCAGCTAATTGTAATTACTTGACTATTTTCAATTTGGTTTGTAAATTAACCTTAAATTATCTCTTTTAGCCAAGAAATAACCAAATTAATTGTTTACTTTTGCTTTTCATGATTTACTTTTTTTTATAATATTCAACTGAAAATTACAATTGCTAAACAATGGTTTAAATTTATGACTTTTTAAGATAAATTTCAACAATTTAAGCATATTAAATCAGTTTTATAGTTTGAACTACCCTGGTGGAAAAAATTGTTTGAAAAAGCATTATTCAATTCTAAAATAAATGAAATTAAAGATTAAAATTGCAATTTTTTGATGATAACTCGTGCAAGTTTCGACAATAAAACAATAAGATATTGTATTAAATCACAAATAACTTAGATTAAGATTGCTAGTAATCAGTTAATTCTCTGTGTTATAATTGATTCAAATATGTATTGATAAAGACTAATTGTGCTTCATGCCTAAATATTTACAAATTGAAATGACTTCATTCATTTTTCATTTCTTCACCATCTGCATCAAACTGCTGAAAATTCTGCTGGACACTCAAAATGATTATTAGTAACAGCATTCTGTAACAAAGAAAGGAGAAGTTGATTTAATTGAATTTTATATGATATCTGGCTTAATATTAACAACTATTATTTTGCTAGGTGAGATGTGAGGAAACAATTTATCCTCACATCAGTATATCATTGAAATAGCCAACAAAAAAATTAATTACTTACTTTAATAGTGTTTTTGAATATTATCTGAGTCTTCAAATTTCTCATGGACTATTTTTCTGATTACACTAGTAATACTTAGAAAACATGAAGAAGAACTGATTGATATAAACATATGGCTTTACATTAACAACAACTGTTTTGCTATGATAGATGTGATGAAACAATTTATCATCACATCGATTTTAATTTAAACATACAAAGATCATTGATAGAAACCCATAATAACTTGATATAAATTATAACTTACATTGTTTTCAATGAAATATGGACAATTATTAAACTAATATTTAGTTTGAGGAAACCTTCAATCAATTTTGATAAATTTTACTTAATCAAACAATTTTTCAATAATCAAGCAGTTTATAAAGGGTGCATATCAGTATAAAACACGGATAAATATTGGGCTTTGTTAGCTTCTTTGCTTAGATTAAAAAGGGTCGATTAACACTAAATTTATCTCATTCTTACGATAACTTACATGAAAATTGTAAACCCGAATCTTGCAAATTTTAAATCATTCAATTACTCGGGCGAGTAAATTCAAACTTATTTTAAACGAAATTGTTTGTTTCGGATAAACTTTTCCACCAGGGTAATCAATTGAGCTTGCCTTTGATTCAGACAATCTGATTACTTTGATAAATTAGTCTAAATATAAGGATTGTTTTAAATTAACATCCATTTCAATTGAATTGCTTTTGCTTTTATTTTTACAAAAAATCTGTAGTTACACTCAACTAATTACCTTTTGATTACAATTTAAGCTAAAATCAACATTATGAATAATCTGAATATCAAATTAATTGAATCAACTATTATTTTCCTGATTTAGCTCAGGTTAACCTTTTAATCTGTTGTATTATTTATAATAAGTATCAAGTCCAAAACAATGTTAAAATATTAATAGTAATATTAAGATTAATTAACCGTTAAGATCAAGTTAACTAACATTTCGCCCATTTTCAAGCTTTAATCGCTAATTGCTGGACTGATTAAAGCTTGATAGTAATTAAAGGAACTATGAAAAGATGTCTTCAATCGATGGATTTTGTTGATAACTCATTTGTTGAAATTTTAAACATTGACTTTGAAAATGTCTATTTTTGAATCTGATTGCTGTTTGTTGCCATTAATTGTGCTTTAGATGTGTTAATCATAACAATTCAAGTTGAACATAATGTCAAAGCATAATTCAAGTTAATTTAAAATTGAATCATTCATCAATTGTGCCTTTTACAATGTCTTGTTGTAATAATTTGGCCAACAAGTAATGCTGTTTAGATACAATTTTTAGGTTAACTGTCCATTTGATTTCGTCTAATTCATTGTTTGAATGTTTAATTAACAAATTTAGCAGCCATGCTATCAACCGATTAAAGTATTTCAATTCAATTGAATACATTGTTTTACGATTTGCCTAATTAACTTAAATTTGAACATGTGAGTTGAATTTAGGGCGGATAAACAATTAACTTGGTCACATTTTCGCAGATTAATTGTTTCTAACCATTATTAACAATTAGAATCACGTAGCCATTGTAATTTGTAAATTAAAAGGGATTGTACCCATTTTAACATCAAATAAGTCTTTAAGCCTCACCTTTATGCAAGATGATCATCAAAAAAGTACAATTATCATTGCAATTATGTATTAAATTGTCATAATAAGCAACAGTTGAATTGGTAAACATGTAATCAAGAGGAATAATTAAAGAAATTAAAAAAACGGAAAATTAAAACTAAAATCAATTTTGAACAGTTAAATAACAGTCAAAAACTCATCTCTTTTTTTGTCTTCATAGGCATTGAACTATCTGCACCAGAGCCATATCATGCATCGAGATGTGAAAGGTCACAATATACTGTTGACAGAAGAAGGAGTAATCAAATTAATTGATTTTGGTAAGATTAAGTCCATTTTTGTATCATTTGTTGATGTAGCATTCAAGTCTTAAAACTTAACAAAATGTCACTTTATTTGTGAATAAATTGTTGATTAATCTTTTGATATTTACTTTAAAGGTGTCTCGTCTCATCTGAATAACAGCCAAGGGAAACGTAATACATCGGTTGGTACACCATATTGGATGGCCCCTGAAGTGATTGCATGTGAACGACAATTAGAGTATGCTTATGATGTTAGGTGTGATGTTTGGTCACTCGGGATAACTGCAATTGAACTGGCTGATGGTGAGCCACCTTTAGCTCAATTACATCCAATGAGAGCTTTATTTCACATACCAAGGTAATTAACAATTAGAGCTCACCTTAATACAACACTTGATATACAAAATAATACTAACTTCAATTTATCTCTCTCTTTAATTAGAAATCCTCCGCCAAAATTGAAAAAACCATCATGTTGGTCTGAGATATTTAACGATTTCATAGCTGAGTAAGTTAATCTATTGGCTACTACCTTTTCTGGTTTATTTATAATCAACCAATTTACCATCATTTCGCCTACAATGCTGTTATAATTGAAAATTTTGATTCCACAATCAAAAAACACTTTTGTCTTTTGGTATAAAAATTTAGTGTTACCAGTTTGTTAACCAGACTAAATGGACCTGCTCTTAAACCTAATGTTTTGTCCAAAAGCTGCTGGATTTGACCAAGTTTCTTAGTCTGGTTACAATAATTAGTGTCCTATCAAATAGTCCAATCTTTTACAGTCATGTGTTCACATTCAAATTAACGGTTCCTAACCGGTTAATTTATAATTAGGATAATGTTTCAAACTTTCCATTTATGAAGCTTTTCCTGCTTCTTTCACTCCTCTTGATGATTATGTAGTCACCAGAAAAGTCATCCTAACCAAACTCACCAAGTTTCACTCTGTTTCCTTGAAAAATACAATAAACCAACCGGACTAGCATTTACACAATGAGAGCAACAAAAAAAAGTCAGTTTACAGTCAACTGCAAAAAGACAGTGAAAAACAATTCAAGGTACACTATTCACAATGTATACTCTTCATTTTATCCGCACCCAACTAATCTTACTGTCTACTGTCCCTTAACACGCGACACGCTTTTATGATTCTGTTCATCATAATGATGATGATGATGATTCCTTTATTGTTAATCCTTGTTAGATTGGAACCTTTCAAACTGTGTTATTCTGTCAACATTTGATTGGAAATATTATATAAGAGTTTTGTATTCTACCCTTAAATCGTAATTTTTGGGGGTTTTAACGTTTCTTTTTGAAAATAAGCACAAAAATTGAACAATATATTTTGCTATAAAATACAATTATAATGACAATATTTTTGCCTTTCAACTTACAGATGCCTTGTAAAGGATTATGAACAACGTCCTCAGATGTGCGAGCTTTTGTTGCACCCTTTCATCGCACAAGTAGATCGGAAACATGATGAGGTACGTTAAAGCATTTAAATGATAATTTGATTTTACTAATTGTTTCATTTTTCTATTCAATACAGTTAGCAATGGAGCTTAGAAATTTAATGTATAAAGTACGAGGTTGCGGTTATCCTAAACGAGTTCCTGAAGTAACCACGAAACATGGTAAATTAAAGGTTGATCGTCGATCGGAACCATTGGCCATTATCCATGACGATCTTGCTTCATTGGAAAATTTGAATCAAGATATTGTAATTAATCATCTGTTTGAGAGATTCAAAGAGGGTCAAATTTATACATACATCGGTGATATCCTAGTGGCAGTCAATCCCTTTCGTCCATTGGGTATTTATGATGAAAAGGTAACTTTTTTCATCTCCAAATTTATTTCAACTCTTCATTTTTATTCCTATTATATCACATAATACATGAGCTTTAATTGTTGTTTTCTTTCTCTCTTGTTACAGCATTCGTTCATGTATCGAAACAAGGCTAAAAATGAAAATCCTCCGCATGTTTATGCTCTCGCTGACTCGGCTTACCATCAAATGTTACACCATCGTCGTAATCAATGTATTGTTATCTCGGGTGAAAGTGGAGCTGGTAAAACAGAATCAGCTAATTTTTTGTTAAAACATTTAGTCTTCCTGGGTAAAGCACTCAATCGTAACCTTGAAGATAAAATTCTTGAAATTAATCGAATCATGGAAGCATTTGGTAATGCTAAGACAGGTATTAATGACAATTCAAGTCGATTTGGTAAATTTTTGGATGTCACCTTCACCAAGACTGGTAAAGTTACCGGTGCCAAATTATATGTTTACCTCTTGGAACGATCAAGGGTTGTTTGGCAGCAAAAGTAAGCACCAAAAATAAAGGGCTCAATATTTAAACACTATCACAACACCCTTTAACATTATCATCACCTAACTATATCATTATCCTTACCATCATCCTTACCATTCTCATCATCATTCCAACCATCAACCTAATCATCATCGCCTTTTAACCCTTTTAAACTTGTGATAGATCGTCTTTTTTGTTTTCATTTTTTTATTACACTTAACATCAGCTCCAATTACATCTAATTTTTCATCACCATTCACCTTTTCCTTCATCTATCCCTTGAATCATCTTCCATCTTCCATCTTCATCTAACATTAATAGTTAGGCCTCAAAACATATTTAGTATTCAATGGCTAATGTCAAATTAAATTAACATTGTTTCTCATTTCTCTTCTTGTAGCGGTGAACGAAACTATCATATATTTTATTATATGTATGATGGTTTGGCCGAAGAGGGACGAATCAACGATTATTTTTTGCATGTACATACTGATTGTAGGTCTCATCGTTTTCTTGGTGGCAATCAACACGATGCTAACAGCATAATGAGAAATGTAGCTTCATTTCGAGCTGTTAAACAAAGCTTTCAACTTCTTGGATTCAGAGCAAAGGTAATTAGAGCCAGTGACAAATATATTGTATTATATCTACAAAATCTCATTTTTTGCTGCTGCATTATCGTTCTCGTTCTGCGTTGTTGTGTTGTTTTGATTGATTGGACTAGAACAAGTTAAACCATTACAAAAGATTTTGCTCTTGAAAAAAAATCATCTTTTTCTATTATTAAGAATAGAATCAATTGAGACGAAAACAAAATTGAGCAAAAATAAGCAAAACCGTGAGGCGAAGTATATGAGATGCTATTAGAAACGGTAAATTGGGATAAGGATGGTTAATCATGGTTAGAAGAGAGTAACTAAGAATTCACCAATTCGTATTCAGAAGCATGTTGTAGTCATTATTATCATAATAATCATGCTTTTATTTCCATTAACAACTGTTATTTTGACTTCAACAGAATTATCATCACAATCATTATCATCATCAACAACAAGAACAAAAACCTTTAAAAAAAATCTTAAACATGATTCCTTGTTTTTTTTCAAGTACGATAATGCTGAAGTTTCTTACGTTATCAAAAACCAGAAGCAATTATAATCTTTATCAATACTAATTCATATATCATTAAATCTATTCTTTTTCTCATTTTTCTTTCCTTCTCTCTCTCTCTCTTTATCATGATAACTTCAAACTAATATATCATCTTTTGGCACGATTGTTTCATGGTAAAAAGGACACTGACTCAATCCTTGCAATTTTAGCGGCCATACTTCACTTGGGAGACATTCGCTTTGAGGAAGCCGAAGAGACTCACAATTCAAACAAGTGTAAACTAACAAATCCAAGTATCATTCCCATTGTGGGTCAACTTTTACGTATCGATGCCAACAGTCTTGTAACCGCTTTAACCCGTAACACTGTGGTTACTCGTGGTGAGAGTATAATCAAAAATCATTCAGTCCAAGAGGCAGAAACAACGAGAGATGCCATGGCCAAAGCAATTTATGGTAGACTCTTTGATTGGATTGTTAATCAAATAAATCGTCTTCTCTCACCGGGTAGAATGGTTTAGTAAGTATAATAATTGTTACAATTTAAATGCGACTCGACAATTTTTCTAATTTCAATTCTGATTCTGTTTTATCTTTTTTTTCTCCAGTGGTGAACCTTTAGCTGTTGGTTTATTGGACATTTTTGGGTTTGAAAATTTTCGAACCAATTCATTTGAGCAACTTTGCATAAATATTGCTAATGAACAGATGCAATACTATTTTAATCAACACATTTTCCGCTGGGAACAACAAGAGTACATTTCCGAAGGAATCGACGTTGAATTGATTCAGTTTTATGACAATAAACCGGTTCTTGACATGTTTCTCGGTCGTCCTTTGGGAATGCTGGTTCTGCTTGATGAAGAAACTCATTTTCCAAATGCAACTGATGCCTCATTGATTGAAAAGTTTCATTCTAACATTAAAAGTTCCTTCTACTTGAAACCTAAGTCAAATGCACTCCAATTCACTGTTATGCATTACGCTGGAAAGGTAAATGACTTTCATTTCCATAGTTAATTGGATTCATTCAAAAAGATGAAACCAGTAAATTCACACTTATTTAACTAACAAATGAGAGTCTCTTGTTACTCCTTGAAATTGTCAACCCTTTGTTTTTTTCCACCAATTTACTATTCAATATGAAAAATCAAACACTTTTAGAATGACAAATGTTTAATAAGTGTGACTTTGCATGTGTATTATGTCATTTTGAACATTTTCATTATTCTTTTTTTTGTATTGTTTGAGGCTTGGATAATTAACGTTTACTAAAATAAATTTTCTTACCACTCTTTTACAGGTTACTTATGATGCTAGAAATTTTTTAGAAAAGAATCGTAATTATGTGCCACTTGAGGTGATCCAATTACTTCGCCAATCGTCCGTGCCTATTGTTAAAGCATTATTTGCCTGTCCATTGACCAAAACTGGCCATCTTTACATTGGATCTGAAATTGATTCTAGTTCATCTAATGATACACCTAATAAAATTGATGGCCTTTCAAATGGAAAGAATGGTTTTGATTATGATCGTAATGGGTTGGTTAGTCAAACACGAACTCAACAAACTGTGGCTACTTACTTTCGTTTCTCATTAATGGATCTACTTCACAAATTAACTAATGGAGCTCCACATTTTGTCCGTTGTATTAAACCAAACGACTCTAAATTAGCAATGACACTGAGTAGGGAAAAGATTGCTGAACAATTGGCTTACACTGGAATAATGGAAACAATCAAGATTCGTCAAATGGGCTTCTCTCACAGAATTCCTTTCGCTGAGTTTTTACGAAGATACAGTTTTCTTGTTTTCAGTTTTGAAGAAAAGGTTGTAGCTGATAGAGAGACTTGTCGCCTTCTGTTGGTTCGTTTAGGTTTAGATGGTTGGGCTTTGGGCAAAACAAAGGTTTTTCTCAAATACTATCACATTGAATATTTATCCAGAGTTTATGATGAAGTAGTCCAGAAAATTATTAGAGTACAAGCTTTTGCTCGACGTTGGTTGGCCAAGAAAAGAGCTGAAAAGGAACGGTGGAATGTCGCTAGATCCATCTTGATCATGCAGAAGTATGCTCGAGGTTGGCTGGCAAGAAAGCGAATGATGGAAGCGAAAAGTAAACCCAATTATGGAAATAATGACGGATCTTCGATTAGTCCAACATCAACTCCTAATCAAGCCAAAAGAGCTCGCTCTTATGAAGCTAATATGATGATCTCATCATCGTCATCTACTTCATCATCGTCTCCATTGGTCCATCAACATTCCAACCCTAATCAAAGCCATAACCAACAACAACAACAACACCAAAGAAATGGTCGTTGCCCATATTGGCAATCTCCAGATAAAGCAGCAGTTTTAATCCAAAAATGTATTGTTTTTGTATCTTTTTTTATCTCATCAAAGATTCATTTTTCCAATTTTAAGATATTAATCAGAGTTTTTAACTTTTCTTATACAGATGTTAGAGGCTATTTAACTAGGAAAAAGGTTAAGCCGCACTTGGATGAGAATCGAAGAGTGATTCCAGCTCCTATTGTTCCACCACATCAACGACAAATATTTGCAAATGCAAAAGATTATTCCAAATATAACAATCATCATGGTCAATATCACCACCATTTACACCAACAACAACATTTGCAGCAGCAAAAACAAGAGCAACTCTTGTCTTCCAAAGGAAACCATTTTGTTGCCGAGAGAATGAAAATGTACCAAGCTTCGGTAGGAGTGAATAATAATCAACCATCTCATCAGATATGGTCTCGAAATCAGAATGTTCACAACCAACTTCACTCAACTCGTCCACAATGTCTCAATATTGGACCAATGACACCTAATGGTAAAAACGAGGTAAATCCTAGATTACAATCAAATAACAAAAGTTCCCGTGCTCATCATTTAATTCAAAATTTACATCAGCAGCGATCTACTGATAATAATGACCAATATCCTGCTCATTTCCTCCTTTCATCCAAAATTGGAATCGACTATGAGTAAGTTAATTTTTAATCTGCTAATCGAATTGAAATAAATTTTTAAACAATTAGACGACAAGGTTGATTTATAAACTGTTACCAACATCTATTACTATTAATGAATAGATCAATGTATCTTCAATCATTGTTTCTAATAATTTGCTCTTCTTAATTATCTAATGCTTACCAAATAATAAAGTGTCCCGTACACTTTGGAAGATCCTTGGGATGCTCCATTGAGAAATCTTGAGAAAAAGTAAAATTATCAAACCTAATTAGATTAGTTGTCACTATTACCTAAACAATTTATAAAATATAACTCATTCAATCTTTAATTAATCGAATTTCTTTCCATTTTTAGCTTTAATCAACCTCAAGCCGAGATTATTTCAGTTGGCAAATTCCTAAGTGAAGACTATATGTTACAACAACGATTAGAACACCATGAAAAAGAGAATCTAATTTCTAGTAAATGGTGGGATTTAATAAAACAAACATCTGGAGATATTTTACGTAAGTGTCCACAATTTAAGCGTCATGAATATTTGAGCTACCGTGAGATTCAATAGATTCTCAGACTTACCATTTGAATCAATTCTAATAAATACTCATTTTTGTTCAAATTAGATGATGAAAAATCTGGTCTTGCAAGTGAAAGGTATAACAAGGTGAAATCAAACGAGCCCAATGAAGTCATTTCCCCGAAAAGCGTTACTAGTCCATCTGAAGCGAACAATGCCGGGAGTGGAAAAAAGGTTTTGGTTGAAGTTGAAAGTTGGTTTCAACGGTGTGGAGGAGGACAACCTTACAATATATCACCAGAAACAGGTTCAGCCTCTGATCAAGGTCCATATCAATTTCGGAAAATACTCAAACCAACGTCAACAGGAACCAATAAAAGTGACGGAAGCATGAGAAAAGCGTCAGCAACGGAAGAATTTCCATTTGACTTTCGTAAATTACTTCGTCGGACTGAACACGCTCCAACAGATACACTGAAAAGATGCAAGGGAATAATGTCACCGCAATAATTGGCCACCAAATAAAAAGCAAAAATAAACCAAAGAGTTTAATCCATTTGCTTGACCATCATCATCACCATAATTTAATCACCATCAAATTTTGTCTTTCTTTTAATCTCTTTCAAAGGATCACCATTCAGTATTTATTTTATTTATTCATTTGCACCTGTGTGTGAATATGTTGAATTATATTATCAATTTTATGTTTTCACTCATTACTCGGTGATTTTTAATCACCACAAAAAAGACTTCAAATAACGTGCAATCAACTATCTCTGCAAGTGGAAGGAGATCAATCTATTTGTTGACAATCTAGTTCGGACTAAGATTATTTTTAATTTGTAATATTATTAATCGTTAATACTTCATGTTAATTGAAATATTTAAAAATTATAAGATTTTATTTTTTCTCCCTTTCAAGTGGATTTTATCATTTTGCTGATCCTCTAGTCTTAATAATCATAGAAATTAATGCAATTAAATCAGACAAACAAGGATAAGTGACTGTTACTGTTAGATTTTTGATTAAATACAATTTTTGAAATGAATTGTTCTCAATCCTTGTATTTGCTTCAAAAGGCATCAAAGATATGAAAGGTATCTTCAAGTAACCCAGTGTTTGATCAACTGGTTTCAAAAATGCATTAAATTAAAAATCTAATTGTAGCAGTTGCCTGCTAACATAATTTTTTGAAAGCATTAAATAAAAGATTTCGTCCAAATGTCTGTGTTATTATAATCTTGATTGTTCAACTTCATTAAATTGTTAAATTTGAGTGTTGAATGTGTAGTTCAACAATTGTAAATTGATTGAAAATTCAATTTTATTGAAACAAATTTGTCAATAAACGACACTTAAATGGGATTTGGGTTTACAAATTGAATTTAAAGGTTCAATTTACATGGTCTATTCTACAATTAATGTAAAATGTGTAATAATTTGATGAGAAAATGGAAAAATTAATCGTATTTTAATTGCATAATAATGTAATAAGTAGATACAAATACAACTATGATAATCAATATCAATGAGTTTCATTTCAACATATCAATCCATTTGAATATCAGCTAATAATGACACCAAAATGTGAAGCAAACCATTCGGATAAGCAAATTGATTGAGAAGGTGGATTGAAACTAATAAAGAATGAAAATAAATGTTTTTTTTTTTATTTTAGAGTTAAAGCTTTCACATTGATGATGAATTGTTGTTGTTTTTTCACCAAAGATGAAGACATTTTGATTATTTTAACGAGGATGAAAAGTACTGGTTTAATGATGGAACTTGCATTTGAAATTCAAAATGAAAGGAGACAAAAGGAGACAAAGAAACATTTCTTAAAATTTGAGTGATGACACAAACATAACGAACCTCTCATTAAAAGAGGAATAGTGTTATCAAATGAAGAAATATTAGGTGAACAAGAAAGCTTCAAACCTTTGCAGTTAATTCATTTCAAATGATCAAATAATATGGTCAAATCATTTAATTGTTTCGTTTTCACTATCATAATCAAACAAAATTTGCTCTTTAATTTGCACAGGATAAAGAATATTGAATATTCTTGAATTTGAGTTTGGCTAAATCATGCAAGCAATGCAGTTGCAGACTAAAACTGACCAAAAATCAAGAGTTGAAAAAATATCAATTGAGCTTGAAGTTCCCATAATCAATGATAATATGAAGTTTATAATCATTTTTTGACATTAAATTTCCATAGGAAAGATTTTTCTGAATTTTCTTTATTTGAGAAAATCCTATTGAAAAATCTCATAGGATTGGTCAAAAATGAGTTTCTTTAAACTATCAATCTAAATAATTATTGATAAAAATTTCAAATAACAGTGGTTATATGAATTTCAAGCGCATTGATCATTCATCAATTGAATTTGATTGCTGTAAAGGGTAAAAAATTATGAATAGTTGTTAGTAAATGTTTTCAAATATGGAATTAGGTTCAAGTTGAAATGCAAATTTTGTTTAATTAATAAAATGGAAATCAAAACAAGCTAATAAATCATATACCATAGTTATCAATCATTTGAAATGAAATAGCTGAAAGAGATTTAAAACTACCTGTCTACTTAATACTATGAGATTGAAATCGGGCGAAAAATGAAAAAGAAAAGGGTTTTCATAAATAAAGAGAAGGAATAGTAGGAATAAAAAAAGGTGAGTGAAGCTAAAAGAAATTCTTGAAAAAGATGAAGGCTGGTTCGAGATAAATGCAGAAGGTAAAAATTAAGCTTTTTAAGCTTCTTTCATAGGAATTTCAGGCGCACATTGGACCTTTCCGGTGACAGCGTCATAATATCCAGCCAAATAGTAGAGCTTTGGAGGAGAATTGGAGTTTAACTGTTCAGGATTCTCTTTCAGGCAACATTGATACTCTTCCCACGGTAGGACTGAACATTTATGAAGTATAGTACGAACATCATTTTGATCGAAATGAGCCGATTCAAATAAAGCTCCCTAAATAAAAAATAAATGGTTGTTTTAATAATTTTGGAAATAATTTTGTTATTAAAGGAAGTAAATTGATTAAGGTTCAATAACTTACCCTCAGATCTTTGAGATTTGGTTGAGATTTGGTTTCCTCCGGATGGTAAAACCATTTAAGGCGAACAATCATACTTCCATTTGATGATTGCCACATTGAATCAATTCGTCCAACATAAGGTAAGGTTGATTTTGTCTTTGAGATAAATACGGCACAATCGCCGACTCTAATAACCTCTTTGCCACGGGTTATTTCGTTATAGTAGGTTTTTTTAGCCTTGCACTTTCCAGTTACTTTTTTGATTACGGGACCAGACCAGTTCCATTCTTCATTAATAAATGCTGAATTATCACTATCACTATCATAATCTTTATTACTTGTATTATTTGGTTTCTTTGTATTTTTAGTATATCTCGATTTATTTACATTTTTGACAGGCTTTATAGAGGAATCGTTTTCAACATTCATGTTATCGAATAGATTCCTCTTCTTTCTTTTAACTTTTGTTTCCTCACTTTTGTAATCACATTTGTTATTTATAACGGCCTCTGCTTGCTGACAAGACTTATTCAAAGATGATGAATTTGATGGGGAAGTTGATGTATTATGATTTGATGGTGTTGTCGATGATGATGATGGCGTCGTTGATGATTGTGTAGATGATGGCGATGAATTGGGTTTAGACTCTTTTTGGGTCGCTTTTTTCGACTTTGATGGAGTTTTTTCAAATAACTCGCGTCGGGCGTCAGGTGGTTTGATCCCACAGAGAAAATATGATTCAAGAACGAATAATCTTTCACTTCGACGTGTGAAATTATATTCGTTGGAAGATGAAGATGATGATTGACGGTTCCTTTTCTTTAAAGGAAGGTCAATAGCTGGAATTAAATCTTTCATTAACACTTTATCGTTCTTGATTTTATCCGTGTTACTTTCGGAGGGAGTGACTGATGATGAATCATTAGTTTCAGAATTCGATGACGGAGTGGTGATAGGCGGAAGATCAATTGAAGATGGAGGAGGTGGAGGGGAAGTTGTTGGTATTGGAGAATTCGATTGAGGTTCAAAGGTAGGTTCATCGGACCAACTGTCTTCTTTAAAGTTACAATCGGTAGAGCTAGTACTGATTGGTCTTTCAACTGATTGCATACGTTCTGGTGGCTCTGAATTAATCTTTCTGGCCAATGAAACTGGTGGCGTTAACAGACTGGTTGGTTTATATTCCGTGTAGGGATAACTAGAATAACAGCGGTCATATTCTAGTCGGCTTTCTTCTTCAAGAGCCCGTTGCTCAGCAAGAGCACTGAGTAAAGTTAAACCATCACAACACGAGATAGAAGATTGCTTATTAGGGACATCATCTTCTGTTGGGATGAAAGGTTCAGTCGTTTCATTGTCTACCATGGTTCGAGGAACAAAAGAGTTTATGGTATTATCATTACAATTGTAGCTCTCAATACGATCGACTAAACGGTCAAGATCCCGTTGTTTAATAAAGTTGATAACTTCAGGACTGGCAACAGGTAAAGTGGGAATGGCCTGTGAGGTAAATTCACTGTTGATCAAATAGGGTCTCTCCAATGGATAGTAGATTGAAGGAGGTGGCGGTGATCCAGAAATAGGTGAATCGTAATAATACCTGGAACGGTAGGTATCTAAAAAACAAAATAACAAAGAGTAATTAGAAGAATGAGAAAAAAGCAGATGAGATCACAAATTTTAAAGGCGAGTATGAAGCAATGTTGAATAAAGTAGCTTAAAAAAGGTTGAATCAGCACAAAATGAGCTAGCAAAGAGACTAGGTTAGTCACAGATGTGTAAGATGAATAAAAGGTTTGATTTTCACTCGATAACACAGAGAATAAGGTTTGCGCGGATTCAAAAACAACTCTGTTTCACTTCGCATTGCAGAGTAAGAAGAAATATCGAAAAAGGAGGCGTCAGCTAGTAGCCAATTAGCGGCCTCTTTATATCTTTATAATTTTGCAACTAACCCCTTAGTCAATGCTATCGTATTTCAAGAAGACAAAAAGATTTTCCAAAAGACAGCCATTTTCTTAACATCCAGAAAAGCTCAGTAAACAACCTTTGATCTAGACAAAAAATATTTTATAATCCTCAACTAGGATCTGATTAAATTAACCGCTCGTTTTCTTAGAACCATTTCTACTCCCTCTTTCTGGGCAAAGTCTTAACAACAGTCTGAAAAAGAGGCAAGAAATCATCAACGAAATCTTATCTGGTTCATTTCTTTCCAAAATCCAACACAATCTAGACATTCAAAAATGATTAAGAGTTCAAACATAAAAATTACAATAAAATAAAATGATAATTTATCAAAATGAAGTGTTTCAAAGGCCACAGAAGATGGATAGTATGAGTGCATAAAAATTTAGACTGATCAAACTGTTGATAAATTTAGGTTATCAAATGCGACGAAAATTATCTATTGAGTTCACATAAGATGAGATCAAAAAGCGAGTTATAAAGGAAATAATTAGTTGGGAAAAATAATACTTGTAAATATTTAAACATATTTAGCTTTACAATTTTGTTTGTACAATTCAGCCTTTTGTCAACACTCATCAATTCAATTGAAATTCACGATGTATAAGTAAAACTAGATATTTGTAGGAAATTAAGACTACCAATCAGCATTATTTCAGAGCTTTTTTCTTGTGATAAAAAGTAAAAAGTTACCTGATCCAGTGATCTCATCGTCTGATAATGATGCACAATCGCTTTTGATGGTTAATGCTTCCGACTGTTCTTGAATTAACGGAGTCCGGTGTAAGAGTGTTTCATTACCCACAGAGATTGCATTACTAGGTGTGAGAGTGGTGTATGTATTCATGGATAATGATGATTCACATTGCTCACAGGGAACGTAACTCCGGACATTAGTTTCATTTCCACATGATTTTCGCCAGGGACGCCACATAGTTTACTGTAAACAAACATGGAAAAAGTCAAAAATAAATTAATGAATTAAATTAGAGTCAAGGAGTGACTGATATAATAAGAAGAGAATTGTTTCTTGGTTGACATTTCAAAGCAAAAAAAAACGGTTGATTAATGTATTGAAATAACTATAGTAGACTGTTGGAAGGAACAACTAGACAATAAGTTGAGGCAAGCAAAAATTTATAACATCCAATAATCATAATAGTATGACAGCCTTTAAAGAGAGTCAATGACCATTTTGAAAATCACATGAATAAAAATGTAATATGGAAACATATTCTTGGTGAAGAAATAAAATGGAAAACAACTGACTAGATGAAGAAGGTAGGAACGCAGGGAAACAAGACACTAATTTAAGATGATGATCAAAATGGACTTGAAAGTGGAAAAGGGTTAAGAAACAAAAGGCCACTTGATGATGTTGCAAGTCAAAAAATGGGTTGATATTTCCATGGATTTGAAAAACAGAAAACACCAAACAATAGAGGTAAACATAATAGGTAGGAAAATGACCGATGACGTGTGTGATCCAACAGGATGAAATATATTCTTCCAAGCATTTTTGATAATTACATTGGTAAAGCAAGCAGAGATTTCATAACAGATGAAAACTAAGAATGAACAAATGCTGAAAGATTGATTAGAAGATTGAATAAAATCAGAACATAATGGGAAGACAAAAGATTATCAGACAAGAAATCTGGATAACCAAATTTGCTTCACCACTGACCAGTTTGAAGAAGAAAACACCCCAACAACAAAAAGAAGGGGATAACTTGGATGAAGAGCATACATAAGGAACTATTCTCATTTGTGTGTAAGATTCTAAAAATATATTCATGCATTTGATAGAAGATGGCAGATTGATCAATTAATAATTTTGAAGATTCAACTACAAGGGATAAGTATAAGTGAGACCAGATGATCTTAGACTTCTAGTCATTTTAAGACAACTAAAGGAGAGCTACCTGGGTTTTACCCATTTGCTATAAGAGTTTCATATGAAAGCTGAACTGAATACTCTGGTTTATTAGAGATGAAGGTGAGCAGAAAAAGCGAAACCAGTAAATATCACTATTTTGGAGTTACATTATGCTGATGAAATCTTGGCTTTCTAGTCAAAGAAATACCAATATGATATCTAACTATTATCATTAAATTAATTAATGCAAGGTATAAAATGGGAGTTGAGATTATCTCATTCAAAAATAAGCGCGCTTTTATTTCTATAGATAAAAAGGTTTTACCTTAATCTTGGGTTGTAAAGTTGAAGCAAAAGTGAAGAACTGTAAACCAATAATCCAGGCTATAAGATGGACAATATGAGATGAATGGATTTGTCACTAATTTACACTTTCCAATCAACATAAATAGATGAATTTTACATGTTGACTGTCGATTAAAAACACAATTTTTAGAGTAAAATGAAGCAAGAAACAGCTATCCAATGGTTAAAAACAAAAAAACAACAGCCACGTTAATTGAAATGGGCGGATTCCGAGTGTTGTGGAGAAAAGATGAAAATTTGAAAAAAGTAATCATAAAGAAAAGAAAAGATAGTTAGAAAAATATTGAAAAATAATTAGACAATATGATAGTTGGTCAAAAAGGTAAAAAAAGACATGACCAATGTTATTGAATAGGTAATGGTAATACATAGACAAACACAGGACAAAGAGAGCTTAGGTGTAAACAAGGGGTGGGGAAATTGCAATGGGTCTTGAAACATCTAACATCTAACAGTCTAAATAAACTAATGTTGAAAAAACCATGTAAATAATGTTCCAAATTACAGGAATAAATGTGATGAAGATATAATCAAAATAAGATTTATAAATTGATACTTACCTAGGGATTTTTTTGTTGTTTATGTGATGGGGATGGCAAACTGGCAAACAAGGGTAACCCTTCACCTAACAATACCTTTTGACACATACAATTGATACCAAATAAGACTCTGGTTCAAAAGATTAATTGTTGATTGTATATAAATGCAAATAATAATGTTGAAATAATAAAAGGTAAAGAGATAAATGAGATGAGACTTTGGTTGTGTTGTTGAATAAAAAGTGAGAGTATCAAGATAGATATTTGCCTCTCATCATGTTTTCCCTTTCAAGATCAAAATAAAATAAAAAAAGACGCAATATGCAGAGTCTTTTTCATGCGTAGCTGTTGATTTATAATGCAACCATTAACAGAGGAATATCTTACGGAAATTGAAATAAACAATGTTTTATCAGCATAATTAAAACCACCAACAAGTTACAAATAGCTCAAAACAACCTAATTAAACAACTGTAGAGAAGAATAGTTGAAATCGATTGATAAGCAGATAACCAGAATAAAAACTTATCATGTTTTTATTTTTCTTTTTATATTTCTAATAATAAATTGGATAAGTTTACATTTCATGGTATTTTACGAATTACTAAAAGTCACCCAAAATAGAAAAGAAACAAAACCTAGGCTTAATCTACACTTTCAGTTGATATTTAGTAATCTATTTACAATAAATTTGTTTTTAAAGACAATTCAGCGTCATTCATGATCTATGAAAAGGTTAACCCATTGGTTGATTTAGACGCAGCAAAATCAAAGCTACTTTGAGTGTTATTAGGGAAAACATTTTTGATGTTTTATTTAATTACATATAATTTGAAAATTGAGTTTACAATTTGTATAATAAAAAAGGTAAAGTTTAAAAGGTTTAAAAATTTACTAAAGATAATTGAGCTTTTTCAAGTTTACATTTTTCAACTCTTTCAGATTAGGGATTGAATTTGTATAATGATAAAAATAGAGAATATATTTTGACACGCTCATTGCATCTCTATCATTCTTCTGGCAAGAAATTAATTCAATGTGTAAAAATTGTTAGAATTATCTGCATCAATTATTAATATATAATAAAAAATTTGTCTATATTGTAGATTATCTCCTTTCTTCATGATGATCACTATTAAGGGTCATTTAAAATCATGATAAGTTGCTTGGCCACTCTTGCGATATCGTATGCACTATCAATAATTTTTTCAACTTCAGAGTGTCCGTCTGGTTTTGAATTTCTCACTTGACATTCGGACATTAAACGGGTAGTATTATTACGTAAAGCTTCAATAATTTCGAATAATTGTTCCTCTTTGTTTTTCAGTTCTCCATCGGACAGGGACTGGAATAAAAAGCAAAATTTGATTAGATATGCAAATTGATTATATTTAACAATTTCAGAAATCTAAAAGTTTCCATGATTTGCCAATTGTTGAATATTTACCTCAGGAAATAAATCTATCATATTGAAAACGACTTGTTGAATATTTTCAGCACACTTTATGAACCTAATATGAAAAGAAAGAAAACAAAATTAAATATGATGGTTAAATTAAAAAGAAAGGGGTTTGGATACTAACACTTCTTGTCTACCTTCTAGTGATACTTGAAGTAGTTCTTGAATACCTTTCGTTATTTGTTCAGTTTTACGAAAAACATCTTTTATTGGAAATGCTGGTGGATGACTCGAGTTATGTTTAGGCGAGAGAACTGCATATTCAGAATCACTTTGACTAGAGAAAGATTCGTGGTCCAGCTTTTGATTACTATGAGCTGCTTGTAAACCATGAATAGGTGATCTAGAGACTGGTTGTGGTGAATTGCATGATTGAGGTATTCGAAGAGGTGAAGATACTGTTGCTGGTGATGGCGGAACTGGCGTGTGAGTCGGAGTTTGATGAGTAATTTGAGATTTTTCCGTAACACCTGAAGGTTTGTCATACATAGATGCAGCTCGAGTCATGAGAATTTTGTTTGGTGAACGAGGTGCCAATACAGGAGAATGATGTGCATGAGAATAATGATGATGATTAAGATGAGGACTGACATTTGTTGGTTCAGGTGAATTGGTAAAAGGAATCTCTTGAGACGTCTGATTTTTCGATGTTACTACTAAAGAGCGAAGTTGAGCATTTTCATTGACCAAGGTATTGACAATGTTTTTCAAAGTCGAGATTTCAGTCTTCATATCTTTATTGCTAACAATCAATTCTTTTAAAAGTGAGTCTGATTTAGACAACTGGTTTTGTAAAATGCGATATTGATCCGATGAACTATTATTGTTATCACTCTTATGTTGATTTGATGCTAATTTGTGGTTAGACTTCAATGCTGAGGCATCTTCTACTTCATCATAATCTCTTTCATCATCCGAGGCAACGGAATCGTATAGTGGATCAGTGTCATCATCACTGGTATTTTGTAAGCACCATTCAATTCGGGAATTTGTTATTCGAAGTTTATGGGGTGGATGAGCATCTGAACTTTTGGGAGCATGAAGCTGCCTTCTTTTGGATTCAATAAGAACATCGATTAATAGAGAAGTAAAATTTTTTGCACTAAATCGAGCAAGCTTTTGTCTGCCTTGATTTCGGGTTGACGAGAACATTGGATTAACTGGTAAAAATGGAACTAAATTATGTTCTGGACTGGCTGTTGACTGATTGCGAAGCTGCAACCATATTTCATCTAATTCACGGCGGTCAACTTCATCATAAACATCTTTGGCAAGTTCCTCGAACTGTTTGTTAGTTAAAGCCTGAAGTTTAGTTTTAGCTAAATGTGTGTCTTCGGGTGCCAATCGGAAATCGACTAGAAAATGGCAGCTTTTTACAATGAAAACATGCGATATGTTGAATTTATTTAACAAAATATATATATACAATTATGGAAATAGACTCAAAGAGTAAATCATGACAGGCAATTGAAAAAGAAATAAGAAAATTGATATTTTCAAGTTCCTTCTTTTTCCACTAATCCATAAGCTTGAAGAGCAACAGTAGCAGCTAACGCTTTGGCTTGTTTCTTGGTTCCACAAGAAACTGATGGTCTATATTCAACGCCGTTAACTATACATTTCATAATAAAACTTTTCTTATGGTCAGGACCAACAGCCTCAACCATATCATATACAGGTAAATCCCATTTATGTTTTGAACAATGTTCTTGAAGAAATGAAATCGGGTTTCTACCTCTTGAAATTTCAGCTACATCGACAACTTGCGCTGGAATTTTGCTGACAGTTTCTTCTTCTGCTACTAAACCTTTGGTATCAAATTTCAGAGATGGAATAATAGGCTCAATTGTCCCTTTCTGATTTCTACCAAGTCCGGTGCCAGGTTGCCACCCCATTTTGAGCAATAAATGCATACCAATACCATCTTTGATTCTGTTGCCTTCCGAAAATTGTTCCTTAAAAATGCATGAGATGAGAAAAGAAATGTTAAAAAATAACATAAAAACGACAAAAAGTAAAAATAATCCTTACGATTCCAGCTCTAACGAATCGTCTCTCTTGCATTTGCGAGGCTGTGATTTCAGCTGCAATTGCAGCGGCCTGCTCATTTTGAAGAGCTTGTTCTTGCATTTTTGCAGTTATCTGTAAAAATTAGAAATTAAAGGGATTAAAAAATCAATCAAAATATGATTAGAAAATAATCAAACAAGGGAAGTATCTGATATGGTACAACTTTTCCCCGACTTAAACATTAAGTATTAAAACTTTACTAACCAATCTTTCTGCTTCATAAATTTGTCTGATAGCAACCAAATTCAATGGATCTTCTTGAAGCTTTTTCTTGGCACTTAATCTTAAAGCCACAAGAGTACCTATTTCTGAACTATTTGTTGACGGCGCTATTTCTTGATCAGAAGTGGAACTCGTTACAGACATATCTGACTGATCTGTAGATTTTGAAGTTTCTTCTTTCGGGTCTGGAACTTCTTTGAAAACTCTTTTTTTGCTTTTTTCAGGTACTTTTGCCGGTGGTGGCATTTCAGGTTTCACTTCTATCCATTCCAATTCTTTTACTCTATGAGTATCTCCACTTGATACTGGAAACTTATCAGTTAATTCTTTCTGGATTTCTTTGGACGATCTAGTAGGTAACTGAGCGAAATCCCGAACCTTTATTTGAATATCTTTTCTTTCTTTCAGTTTAAATGGATGTCTAATAATGGCAGAGCAAACAGATTTAGTATCACCATTTTCATCGTCATCACTATCAGAATAAGAATCGGAAAGAGAATCTTCGTTAGCGGCTGCTTCCATAGTAGAAATTGCACGACAGTATTCTGACCATTGGCTAATCGAATTCTTTTCTTTCAAATTTCTAAGTTGCTCCAGGTTCAACTTATTAATATCTACTCCTTTAGGTAATGTACCTGATTTTATCATACGCGCAAGGTTAGCCTTTGCAATTTGAAGCAATTTTTCTTTATCGACCTTTTCGATAACTGATTGACTTCTTGATCGGCTTCTTCGTCTTCTCTTTGTATGAGATGATCGATCACGACTACGGCTACGGCTACGGCTATGTGTTCGTCTTCGACTTCTACTACTGTGACCATGACTGGAACGTTGAGATTGATGATGCGAATCAGAATGGCGATCTTTATTTCGAGAATCCGATGAACTTAATAGATCTGTAGGGTCAATAGAATAATAGCCAAGACCTTTTCGCTCATCTGGACTGGGAGACTTCCTTTTTCTTTTCTTCTTTCGAGTTTTTGAATATTCATCCAAATTATAAAATGCGCTTTCTTTGAACTTTTTTTTCTTTTTCTTTCGTTCCTTGTCTGACTTATGTTTCTTCTTTTTCTTCTTATTCTCCTCGATCACTTCACCCTCCTCTGGAGAGCTTATGTCTTCCATTTTTCTGCATGCTCGGAACTGATAATTAACTGCAATCCATATTATAAAAAGCCAGGAAAAATCGATGGATTTTCAAGTCACTCATTGATTGATGGACCTGTATACACACCAAATAAAAAAAACTAGTTAAAAATATTTACACTGACAAAATATTAGAGCTTTTTAAATTCTAGGGAATATTAAAAGATAGGATTAACTCTTAAGTAATTGAAAATTATTTGAATCTTTCACTTATTCAGGTCCTTAATTTCAGGATGTTAACATAAAGTTCAAAACAACTCTCTTGTTATACTCTTTGGTTCAAAACATAAATATTGTTAAGCAAGTGTGGGAGTGTCATTGAAATGCGCTTAAAATTAGCGGCTTTTTCAAATTTCCTCATTTGCGCATCAAAATACATGCAAAAACATGTAAATTAAAAAGGAGTGAAAAAATTTTTCCTTTCGAGTTAAGAGAGGGGTTCTTTCACACACTTGTTTCTTAACACCCTGTAACTTTGATGAGAAGAGATCTGTGAAGGGACATTTAACGATATTAGCCATAGTAAGTGTGACAAAATGAGCAAAACCTAATTACATTGAACGTGAGCATCTGCATGTAATCTGGCAAAAAAAGGAATGAATGAATTCTTCAGAGGTTGTTGTTGAATAATCAGAATAGATAATTTACCAGAAACAGAAACTTCAATCAAAAGCAACAGCCAAAAACCAAAACCAAAACCAGCTAAGCAACAGCAAAACAGAAATGGAGAAAAAGTCACAAGCTGTATTTTCAAAGGTATAAAATGGGAGTTTAGATTATCTCATTCAAAAATAAGCGCGCTTTTATTTCTATAGATAAAAAGGTTTTACCTTAATCTTGGGTTGTAAAGTTGAAGCAAAAGTGAAGAACTGTAAACCAATAATCCAGGCTATAAGATGGACAATATGAGATGAATGGATTTGTCACTAATTTACACTTTCCAATCAACATAAATAGATGAATTTTACATGTTGACTGTCGATTAAAAACACAATTTTTAGAGTAAAATGAAGCAAGAAACAGCTATCCAATGGTTAAAAACAAAAAAACAACAGCCACGTTAATTGAAATGGGCGGATTCCGTGTGTTGTGGAGAAAAGATGAAAATTTGAAAAAAGTAATCATAAAGAAAAGAAAAGATAGTTAGAAAAATATTGAAAAATAATTAGACAATATGATAGTTGGTCAAAAAGGTAAAAAAAGACATGACCAATGTTATTGAATAGGTAATGGTAATACATAGACAAACACAGGACAAAGAGAGCTTAGGTGTAAACAAGGGGTGGGGAAATTGCAATGGGTCTTGAAACATCTAACATCTAACAGTCTAAATAAACTAATGTTGAAAAAACCATGTAAATAATGTTCCACATTACAGGAATAAATGTGATGAAGATATAATCAAAATATGATTTATAAATTGATACTTACCTAGGGATTTTTTTGTTGTTTATGTGATGGAGATGGCAAACTGGCAAACAAGGGTAACCCTTCACCTAGCAATACCTTTTGACACATACAATTGATACCAAATAAGACTCTGGTTTTAAAGATTAATTGTTGATTGTATATAAATGCAAATAATAATGTTGAAATAATAAAAGGTAAAGAGATAAATGAGATGAGACTGGTTGTGTTGTTGAATAAAAAGTGAGAGTATCAAGATAGATATTTGCCTCTCATCATGTTTTCCCTTTCAAGATCAAAATAAAATAAAAAAAGACGCAATATGCAGAGTCTTTTTCATGCGTAGCTGTTGATTTATAATGCAACCATCAACAGAGGAATATCTTACGGAAATTGAAATAAACAATGTTTTATCAGCATAATTAAAACCACCAACAAGTTACAAATAGCTCAAAACAACCTAATTAAACAACTGTAGAGAAGAATAGTTGAAATCGATTGATAAGCAGATAACCAGAATAAAAACTTATCATGTTTTTATTTTTGTTTTTATATTTCTAATAATAAATTGGATAAGTTTACATTTCATGGTATTTTACGAATTACTAAAAGTCACCCAAAATAGAAAAGAAACAAAACCTAGGCTTAATCTACACTTTCAGTTGATATTTAGTAATCTATTTACAATAAATTTGTTTTTAAAGACAATTCAGCGTCATTCATGATCTATGAAAAGGTTAACCCATTGGTTGATTTAGACGCAGCAAAATCAAAGCTACTTTGAGTGTTATTAGGGAAAACATTTTTGATGTTTTATTTAATTACATATAATTTGAAAATTGAGTTTACAATTTGTATAATAAAAAAGGTAAAGTTTAAAAGGTTTAAAAATTTACTAAAGATAATTGAGCTTTTTCAAGTTTACATTTTTCAACTCTTTCAGATTAGGGATTGAATTTGTATAATGATAAAAATAGAGAATATATTTTGACACGCTCATTGCATCTCTATCATTCTTCTGGCAAGAAATTAATTCAATGTGTAAAAATTGTTAGAATTATCTGCATCAATTATTAATATATAATAAAAAATTTGTCTATATTGTAGATTATCTCCTTTCTTCATGATGATCACTATTAAGGGTCATTTAAAATCATGATAAGTTGCTTGGCCACTCTTGCGATATCGTATGCACTATCAATAATTTTTTCAACTTCAGAGTGTCCGTCTGGTTTTGAATTTCTCACTTGACATTCGGACATTAAACGGGTAGTATTATTACGTAAAGCTTCAATAATTTCGAATAATTGTTCCTCTTTGTTTTTCAGTTCTCCATCGGACAGGGACTGGAATAAAAAGCAAAATTTGATTAGATATGCAAATTGATTATATTTAACAATTTCAGAAATCTAAAAGTTTCCATGATTTGAAAATTGTTGAATATTTACCTCAGGAAATAAATCTATCATATTGAAAACGGCTTGTTGAATATTTTCAGCACACTTTATGAACCTAATATGAAAAGAAAGAAAACAAAATTAAATATGATGCAAATTAAAAAGAAAAGGGTTTGGATACTAACACTTCTTGTCTACCTTCTAGTGATACTTGAAGTAGTTCTTGAATACCTTTCGTTATTTGTTCGGTTTTACGAAAAACATCTTCTTTTATTGGAAATGATGGTGGATGACTCGAATTGTGTTTAGGCGAGAGAACTGCATATTCAGAATCGCTTTGACTAGAGAAAGATTCGTGGTCCAGCTTTTGATTACTATGAGCTGCTTGTAAACCATGAATAGGTGATCTAGAGACTGGTTGTGGTGAATTGCATGATTGAGGTATTCGAAGAGGTGAAGATACTGTTGCTGGTGATGGCGGAACTGGCGTGTGAGTCGGAGTTTGATGAGTAATTTGAGATTTTTCCGTAACACCTGAAGGTTTGTCATACATAGATGCAGCTCGAGTCATGAGAATTTTGTTTGGTGAACGAGGTGCCAATACAGGAGAATGATGTGCATGAGAATAATGATGATGATTAAGATGAGGACTGACATTTGTTGGTTCAGGTGAATTGGTAAAAGGAATCTCTTGAGACGTTTGATTTTTCGATGTAACTACTAAAGAGCGAAGTTGAGCATTTTCGTTGACCAAGGTATTGACAATGTTTTTCAAAGTCGAGATTTCAGTCTTCATATCTTTATTGCTAACAATCAATTCTTTTAAAAGTGAGTCTGATTTAGACAATTGGTTTTGTAAAATGCGATATTGATCCGAACTATTATTGTTATCACTCTTATGTTGATTTGATGCTAATTTGTGGTTAGACTTCAATGCTGAGGCATCTTCTACTTCATCATAATCTCTTTCATCATCCGAGGCAACGGAATCGTATAATGGGTCAGTGTCATCATCACTGGTATTTTGTAAGCACCATTCAATTCGGGAATTTGTTATTCGAAGTTTATGGGGTGGATGAGCATCTGAACTTTTGGGAGCATGAAGTTGCCTTCTTTTTGACTCAATAAGAACATCGATTAATAGAGAAGTGAAATTTTTTGCACTAAATCGAGCAAGCTTTTGTCTGCCTTGATTTCGCGTTGACGAGAACATTGGATTAACTGGTAAAAATGGAACTAGATTATGTTCTGGACTGGCTGTTGACTGATTGCGAAGCTGCAACCAAATTTCATCTAATTCACGACGATCAACTTCATCATAAACATCTTTGGCAAGTTCCTCGAACTGTTTGTTAGTTAAAGCCTGAAGTTTAGTTTTAGCTAAATGTGTGTCTTCAGGAGGATCGATACTATCATCAGATAATTGAGGAATTAAGTAGTGTTGACCTTGTTTATGATCAGGTTTACGACCACAGAGAAAATGAGATAATCGGTCAGTCAATTCAAACTGAAACTCAATTAATCTTTCAACTATATCATTATGTGATGCACTTTTAGCATAATCCAGAGCTGTTTTGCCATTTAGATCAGTAATAAGCGGATCTGCACCATAAGCGAATAACAGTTCCATTTGAGCTAGTTGACCAGATTTGGCAGCAACATGCAAAGGAGTATTATGCTTTGCAGGGTGAAGATAATTGGGATCAGCCCCAGCAATCAAAAGCCGTAAGCTTGTTTTTAAACTTGAACTTCGAACACTTGAATGAAGCTCTTCACTAACATCACTATTACTGTCACTATCCTTGGGTCCTGGTTTCTTGATAAAATTAAGCTTCTGATATTTGGCCTTAATGAAGTCATTTTTTGCTGGATATAGACCATCCTTAGGATTTGGTTTTTTACGGAAAGATGATCTCATTGAATGCGTGAGAGATGAAGTTAAAGAGTTGCTTCCTGAATTAAGCAAAGTATATTCCCAAATTGAGTTACTTCCACTGTTATAGAGATTAATAACCATTTGAAGTTCACTGGAAGACCATTGGCTCTTCTTGATAGATTTAATTTGAGAAACTTCTCTTCCCATATTACGATGTACAATACAGCAGTCATCACATACAATAACGCCTCTATTAACTGAAGCCCACTCAGCATCTAAAAAGAGTAAAAAACAATAGAGATAAGAATTTAAAGATAAAAATTTGAAGAAGCTGAACATACCTGTATTGGAACAGTCAGCACAATCAAAAATAGTTCTTATTTTAGATCTTGATAAACTCATTTTGATGATTTGATGAAGAATTGAAATAAAATAAAAATTGGTTTCTTAAAATTTCTAAATTGTCAACACCCAACAGCAAACAATTGTAAGACTAGTTTGCTCAGCTATTTTTAAAGGTGAAATGCAATCAGTTGTCCAAGTAAATTAAAATGTAAATTGATGATGAATCGTCTTTAATCAACCATGAATTACAGATCAGCAAAAACGGTAAAATCAGGCAAAACAAGTTACAACAGGCAAATTAGCTTGTAAATCAGCTCATCACGGTTTAGATTGGCCATTGAACAAAAAAATATAAAAATCTGAAATTGTGTAGAGAAAGAAAGAGGATATGACATGATTATTATACACTAAACATCAAAAATTAAAACAAAAGGTCGATGAAGATAAGGATACAAGTGATCTATAAATAACCTTATTTTGGGAAGACTTCATTCTTGACTTATGGTAGTTTTATTTTTTACTCAAGAAGCCAGTAAGAAATTTCCGGTATCATTTCCAGGAGAAAATATCTTTTAAGCTAGGTTTCACAGAAAAATGCAATACTTTCTCTGTTATGATGAAAGTCTCTAGATGAAATAATGTAAAAAGTATTTGAGGAGCAAGCCAAAAAATTTAGTACTGAACAAACCTAATTGTTATCGAATCAGCTACTCGAAGAATGCATTATTCTTACATTTACAGCATTCACCAAAAACTGTAGCAAAGTCTAACAGCTCAAATTGTATTGACAAAATACAATTTAGTTTGAAAACAAGCATTTCAATTCGAAACAACCATAAGTGTATTGATAAACATTTGAGATGTTCTGAGATGGAGGAATCTGGAGTTAAAATGGCCTATCATTACTGATTCTGTGTTTCCAGAGCGGTCTGTTACCACAGAAGTTATTGTTTACACATTAAAAATGTTTTAATGTGACAGTCACATTGTGACAAACTATAAGCCGAAAGATTCGATTAAACGGTTAGAATTGCGGATTGTTTATTCGATACAACACGACAAATATTTAGGTTCGGAATAAACAAATCCAGAGCAAAGTTAATCTTCGAATGTAATCGGGTTATTCAAAACTTGATCAATCAAGCAATTTGAACAGTGTAAATATAATCGAGCTTACCTTATAGATATTTATTGCTTACGGAAACAAATCCTTCATACCTTAAACAACCGCCGGAATTTGAAAGCCTGAAATTATCCACAATAGAGGCAAACAGAAATCACATTTTTATATCAAAATGATAAAAAATAGATGAAAAAAGAAAGCTAAAATAGCATTAAAAACTCATTTAATTCAAGTATTTACAATTTTTCAGACATAAATAAAAAAAATGAAGAGGCTGTGGCTTCCATGCAATAATAAAGACTTCTATTGGCTACAGCAATGGTTTTGGCGCTATTTTCAATTTTATCAACTCTTTAAACGTTAAAATTCATTATGAATACAATTTAACCAGCCATTTATTTTCAATGAATAAATTGAGCAAATCAATTGGTTCTTTTAAAGATTTTCATTATTTATTGAACTTTTGAAACTTATAATTGAATAAACTAGTGACATTCATTATCAACAAAATTGGTATTATTCAAGGATTGTGATCTTATGTCTAGCAATTGCAAGATGACAATGATAGTCATTGACTTTGATTTGTTGTGAGTTTTGGTAAAAATTAATTTGAATCTAAAAATTGAAACAACTTACAATAATGAGTTACAGTATTACAATACATCAATCTTTGGATAAATATAATATACTGACTTAGTTTATAAAATTGTTTCAGAAAATGTAATTTTAGATGGCTTTAGATGATGATTTGATTAGAAAAGAAGAGATTTAGCTAACAATTTATCTTCCAATATTAACTAGAAGGGTTAAATGGACAAAAAGGTTCAACCATTACTTGATAAAAATAAAGATACAAGGAAATTTGGGCAACTAAATATGGGGTAAAATTGATCTTCAGGTAAATCGGTTTGGAAATGAAAAATATATGCCAAGGTTTGTGTCTTCTGGTTTGGTCTTACTTTGACTTCTAAATAACATTTAATTTATTGTAAATTAATTCATGAATTACTTACAACACGATTAAAATTGGAAAGGTAAGAGGTGGGAAAGGAAAAAGAAACAAATGAAAAGATGAGCTCAAGCTGGTTGGTTTTCTGTTCACTTTTAGACATTGAAGATGTATGAAGGGTTGCAGAAATTGGAACAATTAAAAAGCGATTGATGACTTTTTAATAATTGTAGATGATATCCGTATTATCATTATTATTATTATTAACCACATTTGTTTTCCAGTTACTCGTGGTGTTATTGGTGGTTAGTTTTTTGCTACGACTCGTCATGCTGAATACAAATAATACATGTAATAATAATCTCATCATCATTATATATATCAATAGCAGTTGGATTAGATTTAGAAGTAGCCATAGTAGTTGTAGTTGTAGTAGTTGTAGCAATAATATTAGAATTAATTGATAGTAGTAGATGTATATTAGGAATGCGAATGGAGAAATTAAAATTCATCTTTGCCTTTTCGTTATGTTGTTTTTCATAGTCATAGTTTCATAGTTGATAACATTTTTAATTTTTAGTTTTGCTTGTTTGTATTTTTGTCAATGTGAAATCCTACGTGTCTGGACCATTGTGCTGTGCAGGAGGTGGTGGTGGAGGCGGCGGTGGTGCTGGAGGAGCAGTGATAAAACCATTACGTTCACTTTCATACTCTAATACTTCTTGATAAATAAGCTCCTTCCATTGGTCAACAGTGTGTTCCCTTTCATCAATATGGTGATCATATGGTGCAGGTGCTGGAGCTTCAACTTCACTAGCATCCCACCAAACTTTAATATAGTCATGATTTAGAGCTTCATCAACGGAGATCCGTTTCTCTTGGTCAACAACTAGCATCTTTGATAGTAGATCACGAGCCTCGGCAGCTGTTAATTTTGCATGTTCCGTTGAATCAGCTGGAAACAGCATATCTGGAAAAAGTCTCTCAAATCTATATCCATCGTATCTTGGCCTATTCTCGACGTAACTCCGTACTGAGGGTTGTAATCTTTGCATAAATTCCGGTGAAGGCGTACCAAGTTGCTCAATAATTTTGTTCCATTGGTCTATATGATCGGTCCCTGGAAATAGTACAGTTCCACGAATCATTTCACCCATGATACAGCCTACAGACCATAAATCTACATTGTCAGTGTAGCCCATTCCTAAAATCACTTCGGGTGCTCGATAGTAACGGGTGACAACATAAGGTGTCATGGCAAAGTTGGTACCCGCTGTACGAGCTAAGCCAAAGTCCAAAATTTTAAGGGTGCAATCACTTTTTACCACGATATTCGATGGTTTTAAGTCCTAAAATAGAATGGAAATTAAAAAATCAATATAAAAAATTGAAAAGAAAATAAATTTAACGCTTTGTGAGGACAATCAAAAAGTAAAATCTGAAAATTATATTAACCCTGTGGATGATTCCAGCCGAATGAAGATGCTTGATGCCACAAAGCATCTGATAAAGTAGGTAGGACATTCGTTCATGGTCGAGATCCATTTGAATGACTTGACAAAGATTGGCATCCATCAATTCCATAACTAAATAAACATCTTGAAATTCCTCTAGAGTCCTTTGTGGTGTGAAGGCATTCAACAATCCTATTATGTTTTTATGATTAACTAGCCTCATCAGCTTAAACTCCCGATATGCTCTCTTTGCATGAGTAGTATTTTGAAATGGTCGGGATAACTTTTTAATGGCAACATTTTGTCCCGATTCCGAATCATATGCTGAACTGGAAAGATGAAAGAAAAAAAATTATAACATTGTATATAAAATATAATTTATAGATAATTTATAATATTTTAAGATATAATACACCAATCTTGTTTCTAGGTAAATGCAAGGATATAAAAGTAAAATGTAAATACCAATGAAAATTTACTACTATGGGATGACATACGAAAATGATCAGATAGAGATTTCAGCACTAGTTACTATACTGAATCTTCATTGTCGTCATCATCAGTTCCTTTTTTAAAGATAGAGGACAATTCCTATAATTTAAAAAATCTATTGAGAGATGCAACATTGAGCTAATATTTTGATGAGAAATTGTCAAATACAGGGAATATGGAGTACATTTTACTATGTAAAAATATAAATACATCTAATTAATAGACTGTTGAAGCCCCGTGAATTTATCTACGTACAGAGTGAACATCAAAAACTGAGATCACCCATTAAGTAAAGATGCTGATGGTGATGACAATAATTATGACGAGTAGATAAATAAAAACACTTACCAGACAATTCCTTGAGCCCCTGAACCAATTGGCTTGAGATTTTGATACCTTCTCAGTATAGTGAATTTGGTCTCAGCCACTTCTACAGTATAAAACATAGATTGGCTTTTAAATTGAACGCTATTAATCCGATCACTATTGGTTGTAGTTGTTATTGATGACATTATACATTGGTTAATCCATTAAACAGGCGTTTTAGATTGAGAAAAAAATCAGCAATACAAGAGTAGCCGAGGGAAAGAGAATAAAATCTACAAAAATGAGTGACTTTAAAAAAAACCAAAAACAAATCGTCAAAATGATAAATAAAAAAGAGGACTAACAAGAGATGGAGAATCCAAGAGCAGTAACGTGAATGAGTGAAGTAGAGAAAAAAGGTTGGCTGTGATTTTGAATGAAAGTGAAATCCGATTTTGATGAAATGTTGTTGTTCACGATGATGTTTATATTGATGAAGTTATCGATGATGATGAATATGTTGTTGATGATGCTGATGAAGACGGTTGAACTGGTGAGAGTTGAAAAGGGAGAATTGAAAGGACAAGAGTCTCAGTGGAGTCTTAAAAATAATACAACTTGTAAAATGTTGATAGTCAGATGTTTTTGTTGATGTTGGTGGTGGTATCAATGGATTTTGAGGTACTTGTTCCTTTGGAATAATGAATGGTTAATGAAAACTAGATGACCAAATTTACAAAACAACGGACTGTTTTTATCACAAATAATATTATATTATTATACTAGCAATATCAGTAATAACATGATCACAATCAGGCCGAGAAGCAAAATTTATCAAGAGCAAAAAAAGGATGAAGAATTTTAAACCTCTTTTCTATGGGAAAAACTGATGTAGCTTATTCCTCTTTCACTATTTCTCTCTTTCTCTCCTTCTCTCTTTTTCACCAACTCTTGTCTTCTCTTTCTCTTCTTTCCTTACAAACTCTGCTGATATTTTTTATCTGTACAGGCGCGTTCACAATAATTCTGAGCACCCAATTTGAAATAAATGAGCAAAACTTTTTGCTCATGCTGTAGCCGCTTAGTCAAAGGCATAAGAGCCATCTATTGATACGCTTCAATCAAACATTTATTTGAACCAAATTTACGAATAATTTTTCAATCTTTTTACTTGTTGTCAATAAATGAATCTTACATTTATTTCATATGATATTAAAATAATTTATAAATTGTACATTCAAAGAATAAGTAGGAAATTATATTTCCCTGTTCTTATCGTCTTTTTTTTGTTTTTAACAATTTAAATAAAACGTTTCATCGCTTTGCAGGCATTGATGAAACCTCTTTTTCCTTAACGACACAAAATTACAAATATTATTCAATAAGTTAATTGACTCGTCGACGTTTGTATGTCTTATTATCAGTTGAATGTAAGGGTAATTTAAAAACGAAAACTCTATCAGTCTTGGTTTTGTTAGTATCAACATGACAGCCAACAATATTTCCATATTTTCTCATTTTGATGGTTGATGTCAGGAAAACTTTGGATACTTCTGAAATGAGGAGTGGCTTGAATTGGTTAAGATAGATTGATAAAATTAAACCATGGATAATAATCTTGTCCTTGCACTTTTCGGTCATAGTTCGAACGGGCTTGTTACTTGCATGCAATGAGACTGTGTAATTTTCCAAAATGTATTGTTGCAGCTCAAAGCTTTGTAAGCCAAGTGAACCATGAGATTCAACTTTTTTTAATTCACTAGAGCGAAGATTTTTAAGTTTGATCAAAGTATCCAGAAAAATGCAGCAAGCCTTTTCCAAATTATTTTTAACTCTTTCAGCAAAATGTTGAACCAGTGGAGAGTTGATATATTGTAAGAAATTTTCTAGGTCGTAGGATGATTCGACATTTGTTACTATGCTTTCTGAAACAATATCATTAATATTGTAGACTTCTTTGGCTGAAGTAGCATTCTGATTGCGAGGGGGCATTAAAAATGTATCATTAATAATATCTGTTGTATCAAATTTGGTTTTAATGACTCCATCTGTAGGTGTAGACGATTTGCTGGCTATCGAAGCTGTCTTGTCTTTCATTTCCTGGTAATCATCCTCTCCAAAAGAGATTGCGAATTTTTTCCTCTGTTCAATACGTTTAAGGCTTCGCTTTGATCCAAATTTTTCATTGTATTCATCCATTTGCTCTTTATAAGATAGAGATGACAAATTACTAGATGCTCGAACAGGAAAATTTATCTGGGGTTTCATACGAAAGTAAACACATGGTTTGAGACGAGCTTTGTTTTCTTCAACTTCAAGAATCATGAATCTCCGATGACTTGGAATAAATTGGCTCCCAGAATATAAAACTTCACTTAGAGGATCTTTAATTTCACATTTTAATTGATTCTCATCAGTTTTGATGTTTAAATCAATGTTGCTTTCTCCATCAGGTACACCATTTGAAGACCATTCAGTAACACAAATAGGACCAGAGTTAGGCTTATATTTCACTTTAACTGATTTTTTAGACTTTGATTGCATTTTAAAGGGGAAAGTACTTTCAGTTTAGATACTAGTGAGGAATTAGAAAACAGAAATCCCAGTAATCAAATTAAATTGATTGAAGGGAATGAAGAAAATTTAAAGATGATAAAAATATAAACACATTTGAAGAGATCAGCTAAACAACCACGTGGTTACAATGCCGGGGACTTTAATGGTAGTTCATAAATTGCAATCTGTTCATGCTAATTGATTTAAATTAAAATTAAATCTGAATAATATTGAAATTAATGATGAATAATTTGTTGCACTGAAAAATAAAATATCACTTCGTCAAATAAATGAATAGTTCAAGTAAAAATTTCAACATTTAATTTTATCATTCGTATTTGGCGCTTTGACAGACTAAAGCCTTGTAAGCTTACTGGTTAGTTGTTCAATGAGAAACTGTTGATGTTGAGTTTATTGCCACGAAACCCAATTTGTTGAACATATTTTCGTGTTTCTTAATTATTTGATAAATTTGATTGATTAATTGGTTAAAATGGCCGAATCCGCTCGTCCCAAGATCGACGTTATGTCAGATGAGGTTACCGATGTGAATCCTTACAGGTAAAAGATTTTAGTTATTTTATTACTGACAATTCGTTTCATTTCCTTTCTTAAATTTTGTTTATTTTATCTGTAATTCAGTCGACTTATGGCTTTGAAAAAAATGGGAACAGTTAAAAATTACGAGGTAAGTGTCCATCTTAATCCCTAGTTGCATTATAAAGATGTGTTTACTTTGTTTTATTTACCAATTCAGGAAATCAGGTTATATACAGTTTTGATTGTTGGAGTCGGAGGTGTCGGATCTGTGGCTGCTGAAATGTTAACTCGATGTGGTATCGGTAAATTAATCATGTTTGATTATGATAAAGTGGAATTAGCGAATATGAATCGATTATTTTTTCAACCTCATCAAGCTGGAATGTCAAAAGTTGAAGCAGCTTCTAAAACCCTATCATTCATCAATCCTGACGTTGTCTTTGAAACTCACAATATGGACATTACCAAACTGGAAAATTTCAACACTCTAATTGATCGAATTGTTAAAGGTGGACTAGGAAATAAAGCTGTCGATTTAGTTCTTAGTTGTGTTGATAATTTCGAAGCCAGAATGGCAATAAATACAGCTTGTAATGAAGTTAATCAGGTTTGGTTTGAATCTGGAGTTAGTGAAAATGCAGTCTCTGGACATATACAGTTGATAGATCCTGGTAGGACCGCTTGTTTTGCTGTAAGTAATTACAAACTATCAATTGTAATATAATTGTAAAACTTACTAATCAAATTTGTCTTTTTCAGTGTGCTCCTCCTCTAATTGTTGCTTCCAAAGTTGATGAAAAGACATTGAAAAAAGAAGGAGTTTGTGCCGCATCTCTACCGACCACTATTGGTATCATTGCCGGTTTTTTGGTTCAAAATTCTCTCAAGTATCTTCTCAAATTTGCTCCAGTTACTGAGTATCTTGGCTATGATGCTATGAGTGATTTTTTCCCAACATTTCCTGTAAAACCTAACCCTCAATGTGACGATTCTAATTGTGTTCGTCGTCAACAGGAATATCAAGCAAAAGAAGCAGCTAAGCCAAAAATTGAAGCTGTACCAGAAGAAGTCCCTGAAATCATCCATGAAGATAATGAATGGGGAATTAGTTTAGTAGATGAATATGTTCCCGATTCAGAAGAAATTGAATTAGCTCCAGGAGTTAAACTGCAATACACAAAAGACGCTCAACCCGCTGAAGAAAATGCAAAAGATTTCGTTCAAGATACCGATCAATCTTTAGAAGATTTAATGAAACAAATGAAATCTCTATAAAAATACTTGCCTAGATGTCAATTTCAGTTACTAAATATTGTATCTTTATTGGAATTAACCCTCCAAACTTAAAAAACGAAATATTTTCTATTATTTAGTTTCAATTTTGAGCGACTTTGGAATGAACAATTCAACTTTTATGCTGACTATTTCTCTGTCTTTTGTTGATAAAAAAATCATCAATCATCATATTATAATAAGTTCTCATTATTAATCAACTCGGGCATTTTTATTCAGCATTTGCAAAGCAAATATCTATTTATTGAATTGATAAATTTTATGTATTATTATTAAAAACCTATTTCTTTATTTTGTCATACAAGCTGACGTACATCCAATTAACATCATGTTGCGTTTTCAATTGAAGTAAATTTTTAACAATAAAAATTCTGGATAATTTACAATATGTTTTGAATTTATTCCTTGAGTAGATAACTTGAGTCAGAGAAAACTATTAATTCAATCATATTAATACTTAAAGCTTCAGATGAGAGGAAGACAGTTGCATTTGCAATTTCATTTGGATCGCCAACTCGTCCTAGAGGTAGTCGTCTGTCCATATCTTCATATACAGTATTTTTTCCAGGTACAAGTGGAAACAAAAACCTAGTTCGCACCGGACCAGGATTGACGGTTTTTATGAAATTGTTTTGTAACAAACACTTACGAGTTTTACACTTAAGGCTCTGCTGACATTGACGATTTTCAGATTGAGGATATTTACTTGCCTAACTCCATAACTCCCAAAGCATAACACGAATAAATGATAAATTTTTCCTAAATCTCGAAATTTATCGTTAAGATGGGCAGTTAGCTTTTGCCGCTAGCTTAAAAAACATGGATTCGAAAACATAACTCTAAGTAATTAAACATTAAAATTTTGTCAAAATCAAACAAAGTTGGTTATCCTTATATGAGATTTATGTCCGTTGAAGCTCAACCACTGGAGCAAACGAAGAAAGAGAGACTAAAAAGATCTCCAGACCCAAATTCATTTATTATGTGAATGTTTTCTGGTCAATCTAAAGTGATTAAAGAGTTGTTATTGAAAAGACACAATTGTTACATTTATGCATCAAACTTGTACACAAAGTGGCAAAAACTGGCTAAAAATCAATTTCTTGCAAATTTAAACTCTGTTGGTTTGTATAGACATGAACACTGAGTTCACAAATGTGATTTAAAGATTCCTGAATCGATAGTTTTCGAGCAAATCGAGTCCAAAGTTGAAACTTCGATCGCCTTTAGCTCAGCTTTGGAAGCATATTTTTTTTATGAAACTCACTACACTGATATAGCTTTTGACACTCAACCAGAAAATGCACTTATTTTGAGAAAAAAAGTTTCTTGTTCAAAATAAAACAGATAAGTTCGATTTTCATTTAAATCGATCGATTTGTTTGACAGAAAGACTTAAAGAGCTGAAACTTGTTACACGGCTATAAAAATTGTTGGGTCACATCATGCACTGAATAGTTTTTACAATGCATCAAAAGTTCGCTTGATTTTGGCCATTAAGTTTGAAACTTTGAGCCTCGATATTTCGAAAAATGTGGTACCTACAGTCATCATTCTTTCACCAAATTGATCCTTTACTAATTAATAATTCAATTCCATTTAATAACTTTCCATAAGCGGCTTTGAGTCTTGATTTTTGGGTTATAAATGTACTAGCAACAACTTATTTAACAAACTAAGCTCATCTTAACCCATATCTTGGTGAATAAACCATTTTTCTGGTTAAACTTGCACACTAAAGTTTAAAGACTATTGCCAAAGGCTCGAACATTTGAATCGAGTGTTGAGACTTTGTAGCTTTTGTAGGGAAATGAAAACTGAGTCAATTAATACTATTAAATAAGTCAAATGATGGATAGTTCTCGAGAAAATCGAGTCCAAAGTTTAAACTTCGATCGCTTTTTTCTCAGCTTCAGAAGTAGATTTTTTTATGAAACTAACTTTAATGATACATTTTTTGATAACCAACCCCAAAAAGTTCCTTATTTTGAGAAATAAAATTTTCATTTTTCTGTAAAATAGATAAGTTCGATTTTTAGTTGAATCGACCTTTTTCTGTGACCATAATAGTTAGAGACCTGAAACTTATTATCCATTTCTAGAAATTGTTGCCTGACATCATGACTTGAATACTTTTCTAAATCAATCAATAGTTCTTTTGATTTTGGCCATTTGCATTAAAACTTTGAGCTTCGATATTTCGATAATGGCATCATTCACAGTCATCAGTCTTTGACCA